TAGAAGAAACAGAGCTGTTTGATTTGGTAATGTCGAGTCAAGCTCTTAGCGTCGAAGAAATCGAGAGTATAGTGCAAAATTCAGCAGATGAGGAAATGGTTGAAGATGAAGATCCAGAACCCGTACTTACTTCCAAAGTGATCGGGGATATTTTAGCAGACGCAGAACGTCTCATTGAAAAAGCATTAACTTATGATCCTATCATGACTCGGAGCCTTCAGTTTAAACAAGATATTGAAAAATCATTGCAGTGCTATAAGAATTTGTACAAAGATTTATTGCGCAGAGCAAAGCAACAAAGCTTAACTCAATATTTTTTTAAATTATAAATAAATTTACATCATAAATTTGATTTTCAGAGAAAAAAAAATTTTTTCTAATATGCATACATGAAAATTTTGGCTGAGCAAGGAACCGAACCCCCCTTTTCCCATAAGAGCAATGTTTCCGTATTCGCGGTACTTTTTTGGAACCGAACCCTCGCGAATACGGAGGATTGCCTGTATATTGAAATCCGAGTATGCACCTGGATCAAATGATTTCGTCTAAACAAGATACTAATACTGTGAGGAATTGGATTGGAAATTGGGTGAGAAAATGTAAAAAGTATCCCAGAGAAACCGTGACTGACTGCTCGCTGGTTCTCTTGAATTTCTTATGTTTAGAACTAAACAAGTGTTCTTATAAAGAATTCCAAACCAAGTGTTTAAAATATTTACAAACCAGTGAACAACTTAATCCTAAATTGAAGACTTTCATAAGATCGGATAGGGCTCATATTATTAATTCGGTTCGCAGATGGAAAATTTGGACGGATAAAATTAATCCAAAAGTGAAAGATTTCTACACTCGCATGTTTGTATATGCAATCACTGTCGACAAATTTGAAGATGTGAAAAAATTAATTTTTGTAACATTCTATTTAAGTCAAGTCATTGCTGAAAATTCATTAGCAGACCAATTGATAAAGTGGCTAATGACACATTTTTCAGATCCTGAAGTTGAAAACAGCATTAATGTGTCAAAAAACCTGTCAACAAATTTGAATGATAGCGTTATTTTAGAAAATTCGCAGGATGATATTGAGCAGCACCTAGAAGATTATTCAATGCTACATTTTATCAACTGTATTTATAGACAAAGCGAATCTACGCTTGAAAAGAATAAGAATAATAGCATATTTGATCTGCCAAATGTAAACTACCTTCCACATATAAAAAGTAATTTAATACTTTTGTTTACGCAATTTCCTTCATTTAGTAGAGGCATGCAACATTATTTCATTGGATCCAGCGACATAGCAACTACAAGTAGATCAGAATCATATAATAAAGATATCAAGAAAAATTTGGGCCTTAAAGGTGTGATTAATGCAAATAAATTTGTATTGTGGCATGCACAAGTTATAAAGGCACAAACTACTTTGTGTTATGCTTCCATCAAAGAATACCAAAACTTGTTACCAAAACAAAGCAGACTATCATTCGATCAGAAAAAAGAATTTCATATTGAATATCAATGCAATGACTTTAAGAATAGTTCAATACTTGGAGAAATTCAAGAAAATTTGTATGACGTCAATGAAAATGAATTAAGTGAAATTAATGGGCATAACTTTGAAAAAAATACTTATATTTATGAGAATATGGAAAAAGAATTTCATAATGATTTCAATGCATTGACTTCAAGAATAGTTCAATGCAGGGAAAAATTCAAGAAAATTTGTATGACATTGGTGAAAATGAATGCAGTGAAAATGCGTTGCATAACGTTGAAAAAAATACCTGTATTCATAAAAAGATTAAAGGAAGTATGCATTTATTCAACCAGGAGTATGAGAACTTCAAATATTACGTACCAGCTAAATTTTCATTACATTTATCGAAACGCTCGATCAATGGTGATGCCATCAGCAAGCTGCGCATCGACGTGGCCATCCTGTGTGAGCATTACAAGAACCTTGCTCCACCCAACACATGGCTCGCCGATGCTAACGGCCAAGCAGCTATCTGGGTGCAAGGAGGAATCCCGGCGCAGGAGCGCCCGGCGAGAGTGCATTCCTACTTCTCGTGGGGCCGAATCGGCGGAATTTTCTTTTTCAGCGTCTACGCTCCGCCAAGACTCTCTGAGATGGAATTTTCCGCCCTCCTTGCTAACATCACCGAAGAGGCCCGTGGCAGGAGGCCCCTTGTCATAGCGGGGGACTTCAACGCATGGTCGACGGAGTGGGGATGCAGGGCAACTAGACTGCGGGCGTCCATCCTTCTTGACTCGCTCGCTCTCCTCGATGCGGTGCTGTTTCACACCGGTGACGTGCCAACCTTCAACGGCAGACAGGGCAGCTCGGTCGTCCACCTGACGTTCGTTTGCGAGTCTCTTACGCCCCACGTAATATCATGGACGGTGAACGGGCGGTACACACACACAGCGACCATCAGGCCATCGTCTTCGAGATCGAGGTCGCCGGGACTTCGACCAGTTCCACGACGCACCAGAGCTGCAGGAGGAACGCCCGTACTCTCGATGCGGACCGTTTCTCTGCCGTCGTGTCCAGCGCATCGGTCGCTCCCGGGACAGCGGATGATATAGGGTCGAGCCTCATGGACGTTATCACCGGCGCATGTGATGCCTCCATGTCCAAGGCAAATCCCCGCCACCGTCGTGAGCCGGTGTACTGGTGGACGGTGAAGATCGCTGATCTTCGACGCTCTTGTCTACGGGCTCGCAGACTCTTCCAGAGAACGCATGGCCGGCAGGACGAGGAAGCCCACAGCGCGAACTACGCCATCGCAAGACGTCTTCTGCGCGTGTCGATCAAGACCAGCAAACGCCGGTGCTGGAGACAGCTCTGCGACGAGGTCAACAGCGACATTTGGGGCCAACCATACAGGATAGCCATGCCCGCAGACCAAGTAGCCTAGCTCCCCTCACCTGGTGCGCGGCGCGGTGGCGGCTCTGTTTCCACGAGTTCCAAGCGGGCCCGCCTTGCAGCTGCCGCGACGGGCGGGAGAGCTTATCCCAGCCGTCACCTTGGAGGAACTCAAAGGAGCTCAGTCGGCGCCTGGTCCGGATGGAGTACTCAACTCGGCGCTCTCGTTCACTACTGCCGCACGTCCCCACATCTTCTTGCTGGTGTACACGACGTGTCTGGAGACCGGCGTTTTCTCGTCTGGCTGGAAGCGCCAGAGGCTCGTCCTGCTTCCAAAGCCAGGTAAACCCCCCCACGAGCCGTCTTCGTATCGTACGCTGTGTATGCTAGACATGGCGGGCAAGATTCTCGACAGAGTCATATGCGACCGACTGGAGGCTTTCACAGAGAGACCCAGAGGCCTCTCGGAGCGACAGTATGGCTTCCGGAAAGGGCGATCAACGATAGATGCCATCGAAGACGTCATTTTCACTGCCCGGAATGCAGTAGCAGGCAGTAGGTGGCTCCGTGGCTCCAAGAAGTACTGCGCCGTAGTGACTCTCGACGTGAGGAATGCGTTCACTTTGGCCCGGTGGGATAACATCCTCGCCGCTTTACACCGATTGCTCGTACCCGATTACTTGCTGAGAATAATCTGCAGCTACTTCTCAGCAAGAGTGCTCGACTTCACTACGAACGATGGTCCAGAGTCCTACAAAGTCACGACAGGTGTCCCACCGGGGTCAGTCTTGGGCCCGATTCTGTGGAATGTCATGTACGACGCCATCTTGCGCCTCAACTTGGGGGACGATATTTGTATCGTCGGCTTCGTGGATGACATCGCAGTGGTGGCTGTCGCCAAGCACTTATGGCAGATTGAACACGATCTGAACGCTGCCATTCTACAGGTGCGAGGTGCGCTCCAAGCTCTCAGCTTACAAACAGCTGACCACAAGACGGAGACCCTGCTCATCACCAGCAGGAGGGAAGTGGAAACCATCACCATCACGGTAGGTGACCACAGCATACGCTTGTCCCCCTCCATTCGCTACCTGGGCTTCCACATCGACGCCAAGCTGAAGTTCGACCACCACCTCCGAACAGTCAACGCGAAGGCAGCCGGTGTGATCGGTGCCCTTACGAAGATCATGCCCAACTTTGGCCGGCCCAGGAGTAGCCGACGTAAGCTGTATGCCTATACTCTATACTCCGGTATGGAGCCCTTATTTGGAGCACAGCTGCACAACAGCGAGCCTACATTCGCCAGGCGGAGTCAGCCCACCGGTGAGCCTGCCTGCGTGTGATCGGAGGCCGGCCGCATGTCTCTTACGAGTCCACAAATTTCCTTACCGCCATACCACCGCTGGCTTTTCTTGCGAACGAGAGAACGCGGCTCTACGGCCGCCGCCGAGAGGACGCAAAGGACGAGGAACACTTAGCAACGCTAAGCAAGTGGCAGGAAGCATGGGATTGGTCGACGAAGGCCCGATGGACGCACCGACTGATCCCTAATATCAGAGTGTGGATCGAGAGGAGACACGGAGGGCTAAACTACCACCTCACGCAACTCCTGACCGGGCATGGTTTCTTCAAATACCAAAGCCGACGCTACGATCATAACCAAAGCGCACAAAGCCCGGTTTGCCCTCCATCCGTTGAGAACGTGGAGCATGTATTCTACCACTGCCCGAGGTTCAACGAAGAAAGATAGAGGCTACAGGCCCTGCTCCACGAGGTCATGACGCCGGAAAACACCACCAGGCTCATGCTTGCGAGCGAGCCGAACTGGCTCGCGGTTACTTCCTTTGCCCATTCGGTCATGATAAGTCTGAGAGATGAAGGAATGGACAGAAGGGGATGACTGGACGATGCGGCTAGAAGAAGACGCTACCCCATCGAAGCCCTCATGAAGCGCATGAAAATACAACTGATAAAAACACAACCTATTATCCGCGATAAGATTTTCTATTCTTTCCATAACTGAAGAAGTTTCTGTTTGAAAATCGTAACGCATTTGGAATGGAATCGGTATATTTTATAACTTTAAGTATATTAAATCTGTTTTGAAGAGAAATTTCAAGTTTAATCTTACTTGAATGGTTTTCAAATTCCAATCAGGATGATTTACTATCCCCTGACTATTGACTGCATTAAGTATCGCTTTCTGCATGTCCTTATAAGTTTGAGACTGTAATTTTATTCCAGGAAACATATCTTCTATTAACGATAAAAAAAGTGGTTCATCTTCGTCTACTAATTTTGACAAATTCATATCTCTACCAGAAACAATATGTAAAATTTATTTTTCAAGTCGTGTATTAAATTAGTATATTAACTAACCTTAAAACCCTCATAAGTGTGATTTCTTCTGTTTCATTTGGATGAGCTCGTTTTTGCACCCCAAGAGTTCTTAAGCAAGATAATATATTTCTCAGCCCAAAATCATAATGGACTTGTTTACTCAATTGCTCTTCACAAAGCTTGTATAAGGTAAAAAATTTTCTCGATAAAATAATATTATCTTTAAATCCACAAGCAGCCAATTTCACTCGCATGATAATCTACAAGTAATGAGAATCATAATTTTTAAAACTAATTACGTGCATATCAATTAATAATGATGATAGTTCAGTTAGGGGTTACATAGAATAAATAAATGAAAAATATTTATTTGTATTTGAAATTGCTTTAGTATTACACAAAATTAGAAATTCATAATTCAGAGCACCACTGCATGAGATGCATGCATTTAAGTATGAAAAATCAGCGGGTCTATGGGACGGATTTAATGTTGTCGGGTTAGATTTAATCGCGAATGCAACCTTCCGAGTTACCGTAATAGCGTGTAAGTGTATGTTGTGTACTTATGTAATTGGAGACCGGTTTCATCGGTGATGTCGTCTTTTTTTGATTGGTTGTGTGGCGTATTTTTGCGGGCAAACTCAAGCACTTTGGTTTAAAGTCCCAGGGTACTCGTAATTAGTGTCCACGGCGAAGCCGAAGCCAATTAAAACATGCTGGGGCTTTCTTTTTTCGCGGTACAGGCCTGTATACTATTTTTCATTCTCCGTAGTCCTGAAAATAGCAATTTCCGCTTCGCGCAACGGCCAGTAAATACTCACTTTCGGGCTACTGGTATAAAAACGTTATTTTAATCATACCACAACTAACTTGGTTTCAGCCGTTCATGTAAAATCAAAGTATTTATTGAAAAAATATGTCGTCTGGAAAATCGTGAAATCCACCTAACTAAAGATGACATAATTAGCCACGCCAGTCATTATCTTTGAGAACAATACTTGAATGTTTTAAAAATGCAATTAAATCACGATAAACAACGGATATGGGAAGAAGACGAAAAGCAATTTGCTTTAGGTCTTTATTACGATTCTCCCAAAGCTTATTGTTCGATGTACGCATCTAAATGTCTAAGTGAGCGAGTCACGCACGCGCGTGGGGCCTGCAAGGAGGGGGCAACGCACGCGGCCCGTCTTTCTCGCCTCAGTTGAATAGAGTACACGAAGCGCGGGAGTCTGGTCTCCGCTCCGAATTTGCTGCACAGTACTACACCATCTTTTCTTTTCTTAATCAATAAACCTAAGTATTTGTTGTTAAATCGTGAGTGTTTATTTGAACAATCCATGCCCACACGTGTTCGTAGAGATACTCGCGATGCGTAGAAGAAAACACTTATAGATATTTGTTTGAATTTTTCAAACTTTCTTCCCTTACTTTGATTAATAATTGGGTTGACAGTATAAATTTGAGACCGGGAACAAATCGGGGAGTCTAATGAACAATTAAAAGTAAAATTAGAATCAAAAAGTATTCTCAAGAGGCAATCTGTTCTCATGTGGAATGAAATAATGATCAAGCCAACAATAGAGTACAATAGTAGGTACAACATTTTTAAAAGCTATCGCAATTTATCTGATGAATAAGGGAATAAAAAGGGGGGGGGGGATATGAGTCATTTCACGTCAAGTCTCCAGCGAGAGGCCCGCACGGCATTATTAGGTGTAATCACCCAATTTCTAACTCGCTGTAAAAGTACCTAAATGCACCTAGAAGAAAAAACCAACCATTTCGATGGGAAATTTCCTCAGCTTTTGTTTGAGTCTACTCAGAAAAATCTTAAAAATGAGATATTTGTTTTAAAGATATTTGTATCTTAAAAAAGACAAATATCTAAAAAAAAACATTTTTAAGATTTTTCTGAATAGTCTCAACCAAAAGCTGAGGAAATTTTCCATCGAAATGGTGGGTTACTTTTTTCTTCTAAATAACGCCTAATAATGCCGTACGGGCCTCGCCCTGGAGACTTTTGCTCGTTTACCCCAATTTTCTTTTCTAATCGATTTGTCTTCTCTTAAACTACCATCTCTGAAAATTTCATTGCGATCCTAAGTTTTTCGATTTTGCGCTCCAGCCCCCTTAAGCGTCGCACGTGATCATTCAACACAGCCGATGTCTTTTCATCACGTAGTATAATTATTTTATGCGCCGATAAATGTTCTGACCTATCGACAACTTTTGCAAGCATTGTCAATTGGAACAATCGTTTTTTAGGTAAACATAATTCATCAGAAAATTATATAATCGAATAAAATATCTAGAAGTCTTAAAAAGTACATTTTGATGGTCGTTGATAGACGTATTCCTCGATCGATAGATTATGCGATAGGTGTAAAACTTCCACTTTGCTTTAGTGAGTCATTGAATACTAATTATCGCATAACATAATTATTTTAAGGAAAGATCAAATGTTTGAACCACTCACCAATTTATGCAAGTATATTCGATCGGAAAATAACGTTTCCCTGAAAAAAAGTTTTTTCCGATCAAAATGGCTTGGAAACGTTGGTGATAGATCAGAAAATTTTACCGGACCAGAATAGATCTTTGTTACACCATAATAGTACTTTAAGATACGAGTGCCATAAGTAACACTTTTTGGCACGGCGTAGTTTAGGGCCCGAGCGCAGCAATCTTAATTTCTGCGTTTTAACTTTAACATGCGTTGACGATTACCGGTCATTTTTTCGAATCAAGTTTCTCCGAATACAAATTTCCCGAATATCTATTGTCCCGAATAAAGAAAATCTTATTACAAAAATGTGTGGACTTTTATTTAAATATGTAAAAAAACTATAAAAATTTTTAGAACGATGGTACTACCCATCAGTCGTAGATATTCTACAATTTTTTCATCATTTTTGAATCTGTCACAGTCCAAGGCGATTGTTTTGAGCCACTCTTGCAGTTGTATCCACTTCAGCTTAGACGCAGCCTTGACTGCTTTGCCAATACTAAACTCCTCAATCGCACTTGAGGTGTCCCCTTTCTCTTTCTGCAGCTCTTTCAATAGTGAGTATAAATCAAGATGGTGCTTGCCCACTATAAAAGAGAAGCGGTTGTGCCATCCTTCACTAACATTATTTGTCTTATAGGAGCCGGGGCGAACCGTTTCAAAATGGTTCCATGTATCTTTATGGTAACGAGGTTGCACTTTTTTTCTTTTCCCTCTTGCCGTTATACCTATAACGTAGTATTCGGAAAAATAATCCATTATTGGATCCATTATTAATAATCCATTATTGTGCCCGGAACCTCATTTTGAAGCAAGTTAAAAGAGCGTTTAACCTTGAAGTAACTCAACATTGTCCGTGCCATGTACAGGAATCGTAATAGCTCAAGCTCTACACTCTCGACTTCAAAGCCTATTGTAGTCCCCATATTTCTTACCTTTCACTACTTTTGAACATGAATAAATGAATCCGTATAATTTAGTATCTAAATTTCCGGGAGTATTTGCTATTTTAGTAAATTTTTAGCGGTTATTGCTACCCGTTGTCGAATGAGCGTCAATTTATACTAATTCGTTACAGTAGTGATGTAGGCACAATAAATAAATATAATCTGTGTTTACTAATTGGAGAAAATGTGTGTTCAGGAAAATGTATATTCGTGAAAAATATATTCGGGTAAAACATATTCGGAAAAATTTATGATCAGAAAAGAGGTTTTCGATAAAACTGATTCGGGAAATTTACATTCGGGAAAATGGATTCAGAAAAATGATCGGCAACTTGCGTTGACATTAATAAAATTCATTCTTAAAAATAATCAACATTAATATAATTCTTTTAGTAGAAAAATGAGTAATACTCACTTGTCTATCAGGAACCATCATAGCAACACATCGGAACATTATTTTTAAATTTTCTGGTAGTTCTTGGCGACCAGCATATCCAGGGTTCATTGTTATAAAAAGACCAAACTCATAATCAATAGAATAAATTTCACCATCGCTAAAAATATGGGTATTATGAATTCAAAATCAAGCTTAATGCTGATAATTTTCAAAAGATCGTGTAATATTTCGATGATAGTATTTACAATGATTATTCTTATGAACAACAAGATAATTTAAAAATAAAACAGATAATAGTAATATTTGTGAAGCACTAGTTTATTTATGATAAGGTTTTTTAGAGATTGAATTATTTGGGTTCCACAAAAATAAAAAAAAAAAGAACTTAAAGTTTTATTATCGATCTGAAGAAAAAAAATCAGCGGCTTTATAACAGCTGCAAGGTATTCAATTTTTCAAAAAACTATAAAAATTCAAGCAAAAAGATTCGCTGATCTCTCTTCATATATCGAACAAAACTGGTCATACCATGCACTGGAATAAAGTGAAGATCCTAGACAACAACAAAATATACAACAGGAAATTGATTTACGAGATGCCATTCATCAATGGGAAAAAGAACACAATTAATCGGAAGAAAAATACGAAAAACTTTAATTTGAATTGTAATAATACTTTAAACACATTGATACACCTTTGATTAATACATATGTTATTTTTGTTTTTTTTTTAAATCATTGACTTGCAGGCTCTCATTGTTTTCCCAAAGTTAATTTACTAAAAAATTTCCACTTCAAAACTTCTACGAACAATCAAGGAAACCTCATTTTTATAATTTTTAATTTTAACATATGAAATTTTATTAAAATTGCCAGTGAGAGATAAACATTAATGGTTGTAGTTTTGTCTGAGTAATTACTTCACAAAAAAATGCAAGAAAATGAAAACCAAAGTATATAGTCACCCATTTAACCCAGCTCGTGTATAATTGAAAGGTGTCCCTAAGCGTCTAACGCAAAAATAGATTTGGTCAATGGCATGTGTACTCAATTGTAAAATAGTTGTAATTACGAAACTCAACATGACGAGCATAAGTATGACACCCGAATACCTGAAAGTCATAAAATGATTTTAACAATTTTTAACTCGATAACTATCGACTTGACGAAAAACACGTCTAAATTTTTTTAGAATTTCTAGAGCAATTATTGGATTTTTGAAAAACCGATTGAATATGTGATGACCGAAAATCCAAAAATCGTTCGAAAAATTATGAAAAAAATTCGGACGTATTTATTCTTAACACTTTTTATTCTATGCCATTGACTAAATCTTTATGCGTTAGACGCCCGGGAAAACCTTTCAATGATACACGGGCTGGGTTAATTGGGTGTCAGTATTGATTTTGCAAATAAATTGTTTAAATAACACACGAGCTGGGCTACGTGTATTACTGCTTTGGTTTGCATTCTTTTGCATTTTTTAACATTTTTTCAAAAGTTTTTATAGAATTTTTTTATAATAATTTTTTGAATGATGTTAATTCTGTGTTCGGTGGCTATCTAAACACGTCTCATGCAGCCTACTTCCTATGACACAATTTTCGTTGTTGCAACTCACTTTAGTTGGCACGCTCGCTGGTGCTCCGAGGCGGCCCAAGTCTGTAGATAGACATACATGCAGACATCAGTCACAAATTCGCTCTAGTTAATAAATATATACCCGACATATGTGAGACACAAAAATCGACTCAAGTCTATTTAGACCGATCTTAAAGCTTCCTCTATAAGGAAACGAAAGTTTACGGAATAAAAATGTATTATCATTAATCAAGGAACATCCTAAAATTTTTTAAAAATTGTTCATGATGATTTAGGTCGTCAAGCGATTTAAGGAGACTCTTTCAGTTCAATAACAGTGAACTCTTGCATAGACCTATACAGTAGAATAACGTTGATTCGATGATAACCTAAAAATATAAGTACAGCTTAATACGGGCTGCTTGTGTGTATAACATGCGCGAAGATAATAATAGCAGTACACGCTTAAGAATGGACATCGCCCTTACTTCGCTTTATTATCGTATTCTGCTCGTTACCGAATCAATGTTCCCTTACGGTACATTATGTATACGCAGTACGCATTACGCAGCTTGACATCAACTGAATTATCATAAAAACGTCGTTTTTTTCACTTTGACGTTAAAAAACTTGATTTTTCAAAGCGAAAGCCCTTTTTGCAATTCACAGTCGTAACTCTGGAGCAATCCACTTATACAAAAACCAAACTGGAAATTTTTGGATCGATAGAACCGCGAAAATCAGCAGATACAAGAGAGCGATTCTAATGCATGTCTACATCGTTCAAAGTGAGAGAGAGAGTACGTGGAAAGATAGATTTACAGCGCTAAATAGGTGTTTTAGAGGCACAAGAGTTCAGTCATAGCACACAAAGCAACTTGACGCTGCGGGTGCTAAAAACTTATCATTGCTTGCTTTCTAATTTTTCATTGATTTATTACCGTACCAAACTACGAGCCATAAGAAATTACAATTAATAAAATTTAAATAATGTACCTGAATAAAAACTGATTTTTTTTCTCTTTTCTTGCAGTTAGCACAATTGTTATTTGTTGAGCAGCAACTGATAATACTGGTAAATCTATTCGATTAAATTCATCAAAACATCCCCATGTTCCAGATTGTACAAGTCCCTACATGATCATAGACATTGTTGTACAGAAAATATATTTTATTATTTTATTGAATAAATAAAAAACTTTTACTTTGAAAATTCTTCCTAATCCTCGAAAATCCATTTGATCTGAACAATTAAATACAACAACATATTTCCCTAACGCTTTTCCCATATCTTTGGTAGTTTCCGTTTTACCCGTTCCAGCTGGACCAACGGGTGCCCCACCAAAGTTCATTCCTGTATATAAAATAAAAGTATCAATATCAATTGATTTTTTCAACAATTTATTCATATTCTACGTTACCAATTGCTTGTGATAATGTAATATAACATCTATCTGTTAAAGGTGTTACAACAAGTCGGTCTGTACATCCTAAAAATTCATTTTGGTAAATAAAATCGATGTCAGTAATTTTAATAACAACATTTTCGATTTCATTATCGTAATAGAAACGAGCTTGTTTCAACCATTCAAAATCTGTTACGTTTTTTACTCGCATTTTGCAAAGGTCATCAAAAATATCTCTGAAAAAAAAAATTTTAAAATTATTACTAGGCTTTCATACTTTTTTTCATGAAAATTTGCAAATCATAATACATCAAAATAAGCACAATGTCGTATCGAATCAAGGTCATCAGATATAAAATCTATTCAAAGTAAAGCAATGTTTTCAGTAGTACTATGTTTTCTAAATTCTTATAAATCTTTTTCGAAAAGCAAACATATACTCTGTTAAAGAAAAAACTTGTTTCTAAATTCATTTTGTGATTGTGACATGGTAAAGTGATTTGATTTAAGGAATAATAAAGCCAGTATCACTGTATGAAGCTGCTGCGAATTATGCGTGCGAGATTCAAACTCAAAGTAGAATAAGAGTATTTTGACGCTGTATTAAAAACAAATAATGATGCTTGTTTAAACTTTTTTATTATTATCATCATTTTTAACAATATTAATTATATTTTGAACACTTGCTATATGATTAGTAATTACAGGCTGTAATGGCATACTTCGTACGCCGGTACAAGTACGAACACAGAATAGACAACACCCACGAGCCGAACACACATGAGATGCACAGAAGCATATGAGCATAGCAGCCGATAAGTAGGAGCGATGCTAATCGATACCCAATCGATAATTCGCGGCCATAAGGATGCGCACGCAGTCCTTCTCGCGATATGCAAGCCACGAGATGAAGTAGCAGAAGAAATAGATCACTCCTATTGTTACCGCCGTAGAGTGCAGACGTGATAAGACCCACGTAAGAACTTAGTCATGGCGATCGTGTGCGCCAAAGACAACTGCTAGACGAGATAAAGCCCTTCAATCAAAACCTGAAGAAGATAAGACGTCCCTAATCAACTTTGAAAGACGATAAATTTCACTTTTTTACAAAAAAATCGAATAAACGGATTGTTTAGCTTTTCGTATATAATCTTTCTGCAGTTCACGGTAAATTGACATCGCTACTTCGCATTGAATATCATGTTACGCGTTAATATAGGGTCTTCAGACATAGCTTCGTCGATAGTGCTCTAAATCGCATTCAATATTTTATTAATGGAAATTTTAGATAAAGTCTGAATAGGTGGAGCTTCAGTGTTATCATCGGATTCATCTGCATCTACAGAAGGGGCAAGAGGGGAGGAGAAATGACCTCAAGTAAGTCAGTTCTGACCATGTCGATAAACCCTTCACCGGCAATATCATGAGCAATAAAAGCAGCATCTTCTAGGACTGCGATAAGTTCGGTGGGAGCTCCGACCGTAACTTGCGTGGATAACCTGTGACGGGAAGTAGGAGAGATGAGAAGGGTAAATGAGAAGAAGATTGTTTAGTGGAGAAACAAAGTTAACATATTATTGAAGTCATTTGTCCCTATGCAGCCTACAACCTGGACAACTCTAGAAGTTGTAGTATCTCTGGAAGTCCGAGAGATTTGTGTAATCTCCGGTGATTCGGGAAAGAACACGTCACTTAGGTCTTGGTGACTCTGGGTAACCCCATCCGGAGATCCGGGAGATGTGCGCAGCGCAAGAGCTCACGAGCGAATGCCGGCAGCGGCCCAGAACGCCGGCTTCTATAGCGCGGTGCGGCCAACGGTGGTGGGGGCCGCCGCCGCGTCGCGGCTGCGAAGTGGCGCGGATCACAGCGAGGCTGAGAACCGGCGCCAATCTGCAAAGCTCGGCGTGGCCTGCAGTGCGCGTCTATAATACGCGACTTGTGTATATTAACTGCTGTAATTGCTCAAGCCCCGTTCATGCTACCCGTTTTGACAAACTCTAGTAATAGCTTACTCCAGCACGAGTTTTAAGTGGAAATTTTTATTTCCTTCCATGACTCGTTGATTAAAGTAATTGAATGAAGAATGTTGGATTATTTTCATAAATTTCTAACGATTCCATCTGAGTTTTCATTTCAGTTTTGATTGAAATGATCTAATATTTCTTTAATAACGCGCCGAAGGTAATAAGACTTAAATGTAGTAATCACACTTTGATCCATGGGCTGAACAAGAGATGTTGTATTTGAGGGAGGAAACATTAATTCAACGTTTGGGTCTGCATTTACTAATAAATCAGGATAACACTTTGCATTGTCCAGTAGAAGAATAATTTTAAAAGATGAATTCTCAACAGTTAAAAATTGTTTAAGGGGAGAAACGAACCTTAAAATCGAAAAAAATCTATTGGATTTTTGGGTAAGGTTTTTCCTCCCCTGTACATTGCATTTTTTGAAATTTCAAATTTTGATTTTGCACTGAGATACAGCTGTTTTATTGAGCCTTTTTCGTATACGTTTTCAAAATTCTGAAAAATTCCAGACAGATTCTTTGAAATATTTCAAGACTTTTTTTTTCATAGCATTTTTTTGTTCAAGAGCTTCTATTTCCATATGGAAAATAACAAAGATTTTTATAACGTGGAAAATCCTCTTAAATATAGGCGCTAAGGCCAATGAGATTGAACTAAACACAGGGAGCTTCAGTATTGGGTACCAGGAGACCTCAAAAATTTTTTGGAGCAAATCCATGACCCGGAGTTGGGGTAGTCTCCTAGTAAGAACTTCACAATCTGATTACTTGATGTTCCAAACAGACTGTAGACCAAAGCGTCTTAGTGATTTGATATTGCCCAAATCTAATACTTTGTTGCATTTTGAAGAAATACAATTTTTAGCAAGTTCATTTTCATCGATTATACGCTTTCCTGCACAATTGTAATTACCACTTGTTGCACTGCTAGCTTCCTCGCCGTTCGCTTTACACAGGTTTGCTGCGTTTGCTTTTGCTATTTTTTTCATAATTGTATTTTTAGCTTCAATTTTACTTTTACTCGTGAACCTTCCTTTATCTTTAATAATTATTTGACATACTTAATACTATTGTTAAATATTAAATCTACTAGCTAGTATTGCGATTGTATGAACTTGGGGAAGCTCAGATGTCCATAGGTTTGGAAAAGAGGCTCCGGGAAGTAAGAGTGCAATATAATCAAAACTACGTGTTCACTGGTACTCGATTTATTGCTGCTGCTGCTGCTGGTCACTGTTATTCGTTGCTTGCGTGATTAGAACAACGGCTCGTTGGATTGTTGAACTTGTCAGTTTGAAGGCTGATCAGATTCTAGTGTGTGACACGCTAGTCGTCACACACTCACAACACAGGTGAGAGGTGGCAGACGCTCTCTGGCGTCGCTGCTGCTGCGGCAGACAGTGCGCACACAAACTTATGAACACACATACATACTGTAACGAATATATTATTCGTTATACTCTCTCCCGACAATTGTTATTGGTTTTGAATAATTATAAATATTATGTGATTCTATTTCAGCACGACGGATCGTCGATCGACGAGTCGCGGCGTCGTTAGTGTGCGATGAGAGGGGAGAGAGGGATTTTCGGGGCTCGCTCCTATGAATGACAGGCCGCGAGCTGAGACTGTTACAGGCTTCGATACCACTTGCCACGTTAATAGGCATACGCTTGCCTTATTAGTTAAGGGGTAACACCACTCTAGGATTTTCAAAAAAACGATTTTTTTTTTGCATAAAGCTCCCTTGGGGTGTGTAGAATGATGCTAAATAAGTTTTATAGGGGAGACGAAGTTATAAGATGCTTAGTTTTCAATATGAGTGGAAGGGTCTTTACGAACATATCTTCGCAAAATCGGCGAATTTCAATAAATTTAGTATTTTTTCTATTCAAACACTGCCGCTAAAATTTCATCTAATTACATTATCGTACGAGTGAAAAGTGGCTTCTAATATGTAAAACGACCTGTAGAGGTTGCTATAGAAGGCCAACTGTATGGTGCAGGGATCGCCAATTAAAGGTAATACATATAGGTTTTGTATGAATTTCATATCAAAAAAACTTTAAACGCGTTTTTCTCGAAACAACATTTTTAGGCACTGGCGGAACGATATCTCGAAAAATATTGAACCGATTGAGCTGAAATTTGAACTGAAGCTTTAAAATAAGATTACTAAAGGAAGTACGTAGGATTTTTTCGATAAGTTAATTATTTCAATTTTTATAAACAATATTCGGAGGGAATTTTCTCGAATTTTTGAAAATTTTTTTTAGAAACACGCAATTTTCACAATTTTCACTTTTGAGTTAAAATCCTACGTACTTCCTTAGAAAAAGCATTTAACTTTAAGACCTTTTTTGAAATTTTGTTCTAGATGCCACAGAAGTCGAGAAAGCTTTCCGCCAGTCAAAAAATCGCTATTTTGTAAAATTGTGATATCTTCGTCATTTTCTGCCTAAAACTAATAAAAAAATTTTTTTCTTTTAGTTCATTGCATGTATTATTAGTCTTCAAAGTCTCAAATTAAAGTATTCATCGTGGCCCCCACAAAAAATTTGTAAATTTTAGCAATTTTCCAAAATCCTAGAGTGGTGTTACCCCTTAATTGTCACTTCGCGATTGCAAATCAGATTACAATTCGAGTCATGGTGAATCGTGCAAGTGCCTTACGGTACAAGGGTGCCAAGCGAGCCATCCCGATAGGCTGACCGCCGATTGATAAGTACCTGTTCGACTTAAAAAGTAATCTCTCTCTCTCTCTCTTCGCACACTGAGTGGAGCAGCGGCTTGCCGAGATCATAGTCGTGAGCGCGTATTCTATCTGTGGCATAAGCCAACTCAATTTATTTCTTTATTTGTCATTACAGGCCATTGCCTAATTTAATCTTAATTATTTGTGTGTGTTTTTAGTTTTAGTTCTTAATAAATCGATTTATATTAAAACTTAAAGCACGACTATTCCCTCAGCCGAACCTCAATCTGCTCATCCAATCCTCGGATCCTACGGATCAACTTCCCGTTATAAGACATAAGAGCCTGTGTACAAATAGGCTACTGAATCAATGAGGTCCTAAGACTATGTGACAGATGCAAAAGCATAGCCTCGGTTCAAAAGCGCACAGATGCCACTAACTCAACGCAGTTTAAAAAAACGTAGATAGTAATCAGTTTTCGCTAGTATAAGTTTCAATTCGGTTCCAATTTAAGGGGGGTACCGGGTAGGGTCTTAACTAAATTTCAAAAAAAAAAAATTTTTTTTTTTTTTTTGAACATATAGTAAATCGAATTGATCTATAAATCATACACATAATTAATAGTTGTGTTGAATGTTGGACTTATGCCACCGAAAAGCGTGTTATAAATGTGAACTTTTGCCACGCAGTGCTATAAAGTATTTTTTCATACCCCGTGGCCCGAAAATATTTTTTCCCGTATTGCTCAGCAATTTATATGTTTTAGAATATCTCTGAATTTATCATTTTTAATATTTTTTTATTTTGTAATGGACAGTGTGCGAATCGTGTGTGGAGAGAGTCATATCGAGAGATCATGTGATGTGTATGTGTACGTATACGAGTGTGGAAAATAGCGATCAGCGACTGCCTGCAACAAGTACTCCTGATAGTACAGCAACAAGTGAGCGATAATAAATAGTAACTTCTTATTGTAATATCATAAATTGTTTCTATTTCTCATCCTCCCCTCAGTAGTATTCATGTATACGCGTTAACGACAATTATCTAACATATAGTGTATGTTACGAGTCCTGCATCCAAACTCTTCATACTGTTATGAACTTTTACAAACTTTTATATCAGTCTAAAATTAACTTTTGGATAAATGAGTTTTGATATTACCTTTGATGAATATGAATCGTAATTAATGTTTCGTACTTCAACCTTTCGTAGCTGGTCAAGTTTTTAATAGTTACTTCTATAAGTCTGTTTAGAAAATCGAGAAACCACTGATTGGTTTTCTTCATTATAAATTTATCTTTTTTTGCGGCTAAAAACGCTATTTCTGATTGTTGTGTCCATAAAATCTGTATAGCTATTAAAGCAACCTATAAAAAATTCCAATAGTTAATATAAATCGTCTATTTTTAAAAAAGATTCAAAGGCTTTCTCAAAATTTGAATTTTTAAAAAAAATTTTTGTATCACATTTTAACCAATATTTTCCGTAGGATTTTGAAAAAAAAATTTTTTTTATAAAATACTGCTATTTGTTTCGACTAGTCATAGCTAATTCGCAATCTTGCCTTTGACAAAAACCGAAAAATGGAGTCATGTGATATTTTCCTAGACGAAATCAATAACTTGTAAAATCAGTGTCTTGGGAATTCGATGTAGAATTGCAAATTGCTCTAGCAAACCAAATTCCAATTGACCTAGTAAAACCGATACTCGGAATTTCGAGTCATTTTGCTGGATCAACCAAAGCCGACGATAAATAGTGCCGGATCCAGCTCCACCTAGACAATCACAAGTTTCTTTTCTGTGTTGCTTGTTATCCAACCATCATTACTACCTCCTCAACATCGAAAATGACATCAAAGACGTCGTTGCTGAAAAGACCAGTCTACGTTGAAATAATTATACTACCTACATTTAAACTCTGTGGAGCATTTGGGTTATAATATTGAAATTCTGCCGTTTTAATATTGAAAGTTGACGCCTTGCCTCCTCGTCTTGAAGAGTATCAAGTGGAAGAAACTTATGATAAAACGTACGAAGACACCTATAAGGTTAAGAAAGAAACACCAGAAGTCTGCTACGAGTCGCGTTAAGACACCTATGAGGTCGAACGCGTAGAAGAAGCACCAAGAACTGAACCAAGGGCACAAGCACAGCCGCTTTTAGTGCCGATGAAATTCTTCAAACCGCCGAAACGCGGCAAGAAACCGCGCATCAAGTGGATCGACCCCCAAACAGTGGATCGGGCAATATTCAAGAAGGCCTGCCAGGGTGTGCTGTCTGGTTATGAAAAACCAGTGCGAGGAAGAAAACATGCCACGGCCACCCTCTACTACGCACGCGATAAGGGGATTCACGGAATCTGCTGCAGCGGGGAGATCCTCGACGGAGGCGAGGAATCGGTCAAGTACCAGTCTCACCCCGTAGGACTCCCATGGGCGCTCCGCGACTACACCGTTCCGTGCTGTGGGTGCCGCCAGAATATCTGGGAGGTGGCATGCCCAGCTAGGTGTGCCACCTGCAGACCCACCCTGGTGGTTCACTAACAAAAAATAGACACATGCTGCGTCTACGACGCGAACAGAGGAAAGAGTACGCAGAAGAAGCAGAAATAAAACTATGTGCACCTGTGCAGCTTTTGTGTGTGCGTGCTTCTTTATTGTGTGTGCGCGTTGACATATGCCTTTGATTATTCATAATTTTTTTTTCTTTTTTTGGCATGTGCAGTGTGAATTTACGAGCTATTTTTAATTTTTTTACGCAGCGCCAATATGTGCTTTATCGTAAGTACGTTGCGCGTGCTTTTTTAAGATGCGCTTACGCACCTTTATTTTTATTGATATATGCTTACTACGTGAACCGCGAATTTTAATACTTTATTTTTCATGCTCCTTTCATTGTAACCACCCTTAGGCGTAGATTTTGTTAATAAAATAATGAAAAAAAACCTCAATCCATATCCAGTAATTGACAAACCCACCCCCATCCACAGCAGCGACAAGAAGTGGCGCCGACCCGGATAAAACAAGAAATTTTTTCTCGCTCTCTCTCACTCTCAGTCTCTCTCTCTCTCTCTCCCTCTTTCTCTTTCTTGGTAAGCAGCTACACACACGTTTTTGCAGTGCTCCGTATTTACATATTAGTTGCTTCGCATTTTACTGCCGTCTTTTGCCTTCGGGTGTTTTTTCTTTCAGATAACTCTTGCTCGCTCCTCATTGTAAGGCTGTGGCCGAAAGCTTGAAGCTTCTCCACCCTTGCAAATCGAATAATCAAGGAAAATCTGGAAGAAATTTTTCAATTGAGGTTAGTCGCTTTTCGCCATCTTCGCTGATTTTGTCATCGTCATCGTCGTTTCGGCGCCGATCCAGCCTGTGCAGAGCTCACGGCCCGTCGAAGTGGGGGAAATTTCTCTCGGCATCCATCTCTCCGACGTCGCAGACCGCTCAATCGATCAAATTTTCGCGCACGGGCCAGTGTCGCCTCACACCTGTCGGATGTGATGTCAACTGTTCCCATTGTGCAAGTGTGTGTACATTGCGTGAGTGTGCTGGAGAAGGACGCCGATGGTGTTGTTAAGTGCTCGGTCTGTGGCGCGTCGGCGCATAAGCTTTGTGCTCCTTCTCGCAATCGCTTCTTCACTTGCAAAGATTATTCGTCTGCTGCGGTCTCTCGATCTCGTGTACCACGATCTAGCTCTGTCTGCTCACTGACCACTACGCGCTCCGCATCTCTGAAGCGGTCGTCGTCATCTCTAGAGAAACTTTTCACTGGGCCAGTGAAAAAGGTAAAGGCGCGTGCTCCAGGAGAGATTAGCAAGACAAGGGGAATGTCAAGCAGTAAATCCAAATCCAAGGCAAACGTTGCACCACCTGAGGAGCCTCCTGCTTTGCTCTTGCAGCACGAGCAGCGTCTTACAGCTCGCTTCGACAGTAGCGTCGACCGCATCAATGCTCGTTTGGACGTTTTTACCCAAACCCTGAAAGGGCATGGACTAGCTATTGCCCGCAATGAGAGCAGTATTGCAGAGCTCGACGGTCGCCTCTCTAACGAAGTGAAGGAGCTTCAGCGTAGTCACACCTGCAGCGAGCCTTTGGTCGACATCCGCGAGGAGGTTGCGCGACTTGCCTCTGCTGTGGGCACCATAACAACTGCCTCTGGGCCGACGCTGGTGTCACCCCGCTGCTTTGACAACTGTGAGGTCCGCCGGTCCGGTTTTCCGCTTCAGCTTAACCCTTGCGACAGGTCGACTGTTGAGCGTGTGCTCGTCGCCCTAGAGGAGGTGGAACTTCTACCGCACGTGATCCACATCCGGCAGTGGAACCCGAAGAGACGAGCGCCAGCCGCTGAGCGGTACCCCAAGATTTCAGCATCTACCTGTGTCGCAGATCTTCGGACTACCTGACATTGGGGATGGTCGCTTGAGCGCTGCGCTGATCTTGCCAATTGAGCGTTACAGGCTCCTGAAGAAATGCTGGACCAACCGTAAGCAGCACCGGCTATCGAATCCGATTGTAGGCAACAGGCGCATCTTTATGCGTCGCGCCGGTCCGGTAGCAAGGAGTTCACCGAGATCGACACCGAAGCTGCTCTAAACACTTACGCTGCTACTCTGCAGCAAACTGTCTCACTCGCCGCTACACCTCCAGCACCCGGACAGCTCTCTTGAGGTGTTGCCGACTCTCCACGTCGCGATGCTTCAGCTACTCTCTCTCATCTCTCTATTGAATTAATTAACATAGATCGATTCTCAGCAAATTTTAAGCTCCTCGAAGCGCATTCAAATAAACACAACTTTCACATAATCGCTGTCACAGAAACTTTTTTGCAATCCGATCATGATGCAAATGTGTACAATCTTCCGAATCTTAACTTTTATCATCATTATCACACTGGACGGGAGGGTGGCGGCCTGGGACTATATGTCCGTGAAGATTTTGCAGTAACGCAGCTTGTTACCTCCGAATCTGAATACTCCAACATGCCTGCGTTTGCTATTTACGCCAGCTCTCGTGGCACAACCGGATTGCTGGTGGCAGTTGTCTATCACCGACCCACTGCTGCCTACCCTTATCTGTTTCTTAATACGTTATCTGAGCTCCTGCCCCACTACAATGATGTTATCATACTTGGAGACTTCAACATCAACGTAGCAAAGTCCACCGACAGGCACGCTCTTTCTTTGAAAAAGCGCACTGCGCCTTACAATCTGCATATTCTCAGCTGCGAACCCACTCACCACGTCACTTACAGCATTGACGGCTCGTTGCATGCTACCTGCATCGACCTTGCGATAGTGAGGCGGCCAGAGCTCGTGAAGAATTTTACTGTGTCCCCTGCCCCCTTCGCTGCGGGACATAACTTCATCAGTTTCGACTATCGAGTCAAATTGCCACCTTCAGAAACTTCAATTCGCTTCACACGCAGCATCTCGCGAATCTCTCCCTCCACCTTTCCAATAGCTGTAGCATCTAAAATTAACAGTGATAACGACTTGGAGAGTCTGTCACACACGAGCACGCATCTCGGCGACGATCAGGCGGCGATCGACCGACTTGTGTCTAAAATTACCAACGGCATACTCGAGGTACTCGATGCCACTGCCCCTCTCCGACAGACCAAGCTGAAGTCGGGCCCCAGGCCTTGGGTCACGCGTGAGCTGCGCGAGCTTATGAGCCTGAGAGACAGAACGTATAGGGCCTATCTGTGCAGCCTCTCTGCGTCGACGCTTGCGTGCTTCAAGCAACTCCTCCGTATTATAAGAAACAAGCTTGACACTGTCAAAAATGCTTATATAGCGGATAAACTCGCATCGGCCTCTTCGCCTGCGGATTATTGGAGGACTTTGAGTGGTGTAGGAGTCACTTTGCACGGTACACCTTCCCCTCTGAAGTTCTTTGCCCCCGATCAACTGTGCCAATACTACGCATCGGTCTCTTCGGCATCACCGGCGCTTGATGTGGGTGCTCTGGCGGTCGCTTTGGCCTCACTCCCTGACCAGCCTGGCCATGAGAGCTTCAATTTTCGTCATGTGACTTCACGGGATGTAGAGACGGCCATGATGAGGTGTAAATCGTCTAGCTGTGGCTCTGACGGTGTTTCAGCCCGTGTGTTGCGACTGGCCTCGCCTGCACTTTATGGCCGTCTTGCGGAGCTTTTCAACCTCTCTTTCGACGCGGGTGTCTTCGCTTCTGAGTGGAAGCATGCGTCGATCGTTGCTTTGTCCAAAGTGCCTTCGCCCACAACTCCATCTGACACTCGTCCTATCTCTCTACTGCCGGAGATGTCGACGATTCTTGAGCGTCTTGCTCAAGCCGAGCTGACTGACTTCCTTGAGCAGCGAAACCTGCTAGATGCAAGGCAACATGGATTCAGAACGGGAAATTCGACACAAACTGCACTTCTCGAACTCACCGGAACTATGCGAAACGCTATTGAGAAGTCGAAGGTCACTCTCCTTGTGTCCTTCGATCTCTCTAAGGCCTTTGACACCATTGATCATGGCCTGCTCACTGCGAAGCTGAGATAGATTAGCTGCAGCGATCTCAAGCGTTTTTCTTATGCTTTGAGAGACGGCGTGTCTGTAGTACCGAAGCGAGAATAGTACGTAGTGGCAGCGTGACACGATGCTATTCGTATGCGCCTCCCAGTTCAGTGTTGGAGTAAGCTTGATGCCAAGTGTCTTCACAATTGCAGAGTACTCGATGTGGGTTCCCTGAACCGCTATCTTAAGCAGTCATGAGTTGATTGCGGCGGATCAGCGTCGGAGTTGATTGCGGCGATGAGTTCTAGAATACGGTCAGGGTAATCATGCGCGTAGATTTGCGTGTCATCGGCGTAGACGATGTGATCACAGTGGTGAAGGACGGTGCGTAGGTCGTTGACAAATATTGAGAATAAAAGCGGGCCGAGCACAGACCCTTGAGGCACCCCAGATGTTGTAGCGCATGATTGGGTCAAGGTGCCATCAGCGCGCTGTACAGTCATGCGCCTGTCGCACAGGTAGCTGTCGTTCCACTAGTAGACACGTTCACGGCGCCGAAGATCACCTCCTCTTGACATGGAAGATTGTGGATATGAGCTCGTCCACCATGTCCTCAAGGGAACCCGACCGGATATTCATCTTAGAAACGACCTCAGCAAAGAAGTCACCGTCGAAAGTTCGTGCGCTCCACCTACGATAACCTACCAGAGGGCGGCTTACACTTCTATTTTCCTCGAGGAGGATCTTGAACACAATAACTTCGTGGTTGCTACTTGTTGTGTGTTTTTTTTTTTTCTACTCCACCCCATTCGGACACTCACCGGTATCCGCCGTTAGGCATTGCTTCGGTGAGGTCGGGGTTAGTTGAGCATTTCTGCTACTTCTGTTAGTCGTTGTTTTCCATACATCCCCCATCCGTCGCTTAGTGATATGCGACGATTAGGGGTTCAGGGACTCATCCTCTTTCTGCTTGGTGAACCTCCGATCCTGCACGATGCCATCGTCGATTGTCGTATCCCCTTTTTCAGAGCCGTCTGCTGCGTGGTCACACATTGCTGGCATCTCCTCCTGAGTTGGACATCTTCTTTAGAACTCGCTGTCTAGTGCCATCTTGTGAGTGTGGTTCTCGCTTCTGCAGCCAATGGCAAGCCCATCCCTTTGCATTGTCGGCTACATCTTGTGAGTGTGGTTCTCGCTTCCGGCGCTGTGTTGTTGTGTGTGTGTGTGTGTCCAAAAGTGAGGATTCTTACGGTCAAGCCAAAAAGGTAAGAATTTCATTTGCAATTACATAATACGGTGCTAAGTTTAATTTAAAATTAAAATTTTTATTCTTTTTTTTTGTATAAATTGCACTTTTTGGTACCATGGAGTGAGTCACACAGGTACAGCAATTGTGGTACAAATGACGCAGAAAGTACAACTTATGCCACCGAGAGTGTGCGATGAAATGTTAATTTAAGCAACACACTGTTATGAATTTCAATTTTTAACGTTTTATTAAAAAAGTATACTGAAATTTATAAAATAACGAAATTATAGCGTCTGCTAAGTATTGTTTTAAGTATTTAGTATAAATTTCGGGAAATTGTCTGACAAAATGATATACCTAGATTCAGTATTTTCTTATTGTATATTAATTTTTTTGAAAAATTAAAGAAATCTCTCTTAACCGTCAAGGGGATACTAAAGCAATATTACAACTGAACATTTTTGAATAAATCTTCTGATTTCTGTTTTATATTTCTTAGAAGAAAAATCTCTTAAATATCATTAAGGGTTAAGAATAGATATTAAAAATTCATATTTATTACTTGTAAAATGGAAGAATTAATGAGCTCTAAATAATCAGTCTCCGGGTTTGCCAGTTTCTGTAAACCATTTGATATGTATGCTCCAACTGACTGACAGTGCATTTGTAGCAATAAATTAAGCCAAATTTCCACACCACCATGACAGTCAACGGGCTTTTCTAAAATAATTTTCTCTTTTTCACGAGAATACATGGCTAAAATTTTGTCATATTCTTTTTCTGAAAAATCCAACTGCAACATTCAAAAATTTACAATAAAATTTAATATTATTACAAGTACAGAAAATTATCATTGTTCATGTCATTAAGTAAAATATTAATGTAATTTAAATGTGACGTCAGGAGACGCCATTTTAATAAATATTTATATTGATCTTAATCTGGCTGGTGACAATGAAGGATTATAGATATGACGTGAGTGCTAGGTAGGCCTTATTACTGGGTACATAAACACAACTATAATTTATTTGTTACGGGCATTATTTATATTGGTTGACTTACACTTAGGCTTATTAAACTAATTACAAATAAAATACGTAGGTCTGGGGGACGATTCTTGGTGTCGACGTAGATGACTTTAACTGGCTCGGCTCGCTCGTATTCTCGTGGCTCACGCTGCAAATGGCCCGACCGACTCCTGGTTGAGTGCACTGCAATAGCTACACTAGCCTTGATTACAAATTATACTCCACGTTGGACTCGTGACACAATTTAACAAAAGTTCAGATAATTCATCGAAATCGTGGTACAGATTGACGTGAGCTCCGCACACCGGATAAGATGATAGATGAATCGCCTAAAGGCCTCTGTGGGTCCTCAATATATGGACTATTCCACAACAGGTGTTGCAGGCCAAAAATGAATCGATGTCCCAATATTGTATGCTGATAAAGCATAAAAAAGGGGAAAATTCACTAAGCCCTAGATGTCTAAGGTCTCTGCAACCGGAGTACTCAGAGTCTCAACGATAGAATGTTAAAAGTGACATTACACCTGCCAAAGCTATTCAACACTCTGAAAAATAAACAAACATAGGTTTTTTTGGTAAAAACTGTGTGGAATTCAAATTTGTATGTTAGAAGTCTATACGTTTATTCTTTTCCCATTAAATATGAAAAAATGAGTAAAATTCCCAAAGTAACTATGTTCGTATATATCAATTTGGCTAAGAATGAAGTATATTCTTTCTGATACCAAAATACAACTCTCATATAAGTTTCTCAAAATACAACTCTCATGCTATAAAATCAAGTACCATGTTTACATGTAAGTCTACATTTAAGTAGTCCATTTTAACTAATTGTTGAGTCAAATATGTAAGGAAGTAGTCGTCTAACAGGGGTCCAACGGTTCTCCTTTCTTATTGCATCTTAAATGTCCTCTGGTTAAGAGGGATATGCGAAATAAAAGGAACCTAATAATAATTCTATAAGCGCTGAGTTTGAGAGAAAGCCGCGACCGACGATGCGAAAAACCTGTCACGTGGAAGGGGCCATATTTTGACTGAGGGGCGGGCTAGAACACGAAGAGGCTATCACTCTGTGTTGGACCGCGCGAGCAGCAATAGCGTTGCTACCTACCATCCATTGTGTGTGACACTGAGATTGTCTGTGAGTGTGTGAGTGAGCCTGCCGTCCCGAGGAGCATCTACACCTGGCTGCCTTCTCGTTTGCCCTCGCTTCTTCACAGTCGTTATCTGGCCCAATTGTCCGTCGATCAACTACCGAGTCAGCCTAATTTAAGTCACTCGAATCTCTCTTTGTACGTAGCGTCATTTTATGTAGAATCCTTACTGATCGATCTCTCTCGACTTCGTTCCCGTAAAGCCTGTCCCTACGACCGCCGTAATCTACCGAATTAACCACGGTGGCCCGAAGCTGCGTACTGATTGTATCGGGTAAAATATTCAAGTGCCGAATACTAAATCAATGAACATCATTTGTAAACCTTGTATTCTTGTACTGTTTAGTTCTCTAGGCGTCACAGCAGTGACTGATGCCTTTTTAATAAATTCAAGCCTAATTATTAACTTTAAATTAAATGATTACATAGAGTTATTTCGGTACACCTTTCTTTCTTTTTCCCGTTACAGGTCTGCGTGAGAGTCTCACCGAACAAGTGTACACGTACCTGAGGGCACTTCTTTATAAACGATATGTATAAGACCATATCTGCTACTCGTCAATTACTTATAAGTCTGAATATCTTTTTTTTAGTTCTGTGGAAGCTTAGGAGGTATTGGTGTAATCTAATCGTCTAAAACGCATCGGGAATTTGTAAAAGGATGTTTGGAATGTCTCTTCAAATCATTAAAAGTATATACTATTAAATAACAGAATTTTATTTTTCTAATATATAGCTGTCCTTGGATTTGATAAAAGTATGGATGCTCTCTGCTGAGCTCTAAATAACCAAAACAATTTAATTTAAGGTAAGAGACAGTTATTTCATTGATTTTAGAATGTCTTCTAGCGTAAAGACACTTAACTTCAATTAATGAGTCAAAAGCTAGTAATCTGTCAGGAGATCTTCCAAGGTATGGTCTCTCTGTAGGAACAAATAGACCACATTCTTGTATATTCAATGAGTTGTTAATCAATTCATTGAACTTATCCACAGCTATACTCTCACAACTTTTCTTATAGTTTGTTGCTTTTGATGTGAATTTTATAGGATTTAGGATTTTCTGAGACAAAGCTTTGACGCCGTCTTCGTTTTCTAATGTACGACAACAAGAATGGAAAAAACTTGCTGTCATACATATTGAACACTCTTGGACCCAGGCAGGACTATTACACTGTTTTATTGTCCTGAATTCAATACTTTGCGCATTTTCTACTGATAACTCGGAAAGGCCAAGAGTTTTAAACAATCCGTCAGCATAAGATTTTTTTGTATAAAATCCATGATTCCAGTCAAAAGCATACAGATTAGCAGGACATGTGATCTGTTTAATACATATTATTATTCAAACCTCTGGCCTTTATAATATTATGAAAATAATTAATGTAATATGTCTTGAAATCTTCATTGTTAATCCCATAAAATATGGTCCCCTTCTCCCAAGCTTAGATCCAAAAATAAGTCTTTAGAATCTTCTCCCAAGTTCGTCGATAGTCCAAGTCTCTTATTTGTAATGGTACAACTTGTTCGGAGCACTCGCGATCCATCTTATCAACACACTCGGCTCGGAAGGAGAGGCGCAAGCAAGTCGAGGAGAGGAGCGGCCAATAACACCCATCACCTGTCCCACCTGAAATCTGCCCAGCGGAGTACACGTGTAAACGTGCATAAGCGCTTGTTGAGACACCAAAAATCCGCCCGAGTGGGAAAAGGATCTCTCTTTTTCTCACTCATAACTAGCACGCGAAAATTCCAGTGGAGACAGAACCCGGAACGGTGTGAAGAAACGGAGCGCTCGCCTTGGCCTATAAAAGCCGTACGCGACAAAGAGACGACCTATAATTTTTCCCAAAAACAGTAGTGAACTATTTAGCCTACGTCTAACAAGACGCATAGTCTATAAGTCTCTCGCAACGTCAAAGCGCATCGCCATCAACGTGGTAGTTGGGCTGACGGAGGCTTACCTCATAGTGTAGGTTTGCCCCGTAGGTTTGCTCTATCGAGCAAATGAAGGGTCCGGCTTTTTATTAAGAGCTGACGCCAAAGCGCGTCACCTTACTGTGCTCCACACATGAGGTAGGCGTTCAGGCAGAGTTCACCCCTCATGGGTGAACTCGGTCGTCATCTTTCACACACGCGAGGGACCGATCTTTTAGCTTCAGCGAAGCATTTATTTCCTTTTCCTGCTAACAGTGAGTTTGTTTTTTGCTTTTCTTTCCTAGTTATTGTGAGTATAGAACGCGAAAGTTGCAGCAGCAGTTCCAACAGTAGTTCCAGCAGCAGCTCCAGCAGCAAAGCCGACATTGATTACACGCAAGATAATTCCTTACTGTAATGTATTATTATTTCATTGTCGTACTATGGTCTGCTCGTTTGAAACTCCCTTATAAAAATATTTACTTTAACGGGGTTGATTAATAATAAAAGCCAACTCGTGTTTTCTTCATAGCGTTTAAACGAGGTGTGTTTTTCTTCTCAGCGTTTCAATGAGGTGTGTTTTTCTTCACGGCATCCGATGAGATGTGTTTTTTTTTCACAGTATTTCGTTACGGTGAGTTTTTACTCATAAGCAGCGGCGATATACACGATGCGAGTCCAAACTAGTAAGGCAAGCCACAGCAAAAACAAGCCGTACTCTGCTTCTATTCTCTGGAAGCCATGCCTCTTCTAGCAAAGAGGGTCGAAGAATTGATCAATCAGCAATCTGCAGACGAAAGCATGGGATGAGCAGGGAAGAGGAGTGTGATTCAAACTGGGTCCTACTCATTTCTGAACAGCCAATAGAGCACCACTAAAGCTCTGCCAGTCGCAATCTTGAACTATACGGAATAAATTGGGAATGTCAAGGCATTGATGGTCAAATTGGTAAAGCTACTCGTCGGCTTGAGATAAGTTATGCACCAATTTTTTCTTATAGCTTATTTTTGCTATTTTTAGATCAGAGCCTTAAGCTGCATATTTTTTCACATTTTGGAAAGCTCAAAAGTGTAATTTTTATGTAATTAAGATAGATTGTCTAAAAACTGCATTTTATAATATAACAATAACATATGAGAGAAAATTGGTGTATAACTCCCCTCAAGGTGATATTCCCCAGTTCAATTCCAGGCTAAGGCAATTTTATTTCACTGCATAAATTTAATTAAAAAATTATGGGAAAATTATCGCTTCGATGCATAGGCGGCCCTTGTATACGTCTGTTACCTTCGTCACAAATTTCGAACTAAAAGGTCGAACTAAATCAATTAGTATTTATTCTTGATATTATTAATTATTGTAATGATCCAAATATCATACTAACCTTTGCGACATTATCGAAAAATCCTTCCAAGTAATTTACAATAGTATGCGTGTCTGCAGCTTGTCCTAATATTTCCAATAGAGTAGGATCAGATATAAAACAAAATCTTGGAAATAATTTCCGTTTAATTTCAAGGTAGCTAAAAATAATGTAAATGAAGTGGTTATTACATTATATCCAAATACTGAAATCGTTTGATTATTAAATATTTTTATCTCTCAAAAAAGTCAAGTAATTTTTTATTTGACCGTTTTAAGCAAATATTTGTATAGTCAAGAGGTGCGGTAGCACCTAGCCTTCATTAATACTTTAACAATGAAAAAGCTTGATTTTTTATGGGTTTTCAAAACGATTTGTTCCGTAGTTTTAAGCCTCAAAAATATTTTGCACGCACCTATTTCTGCGTAAAATTTAATGGCTTTTCAGAAGCTAAGCTTAACATTTTAATTTTTTAGCATAATATAAAATAAACAGCTGATTGAATAAAAAAAAAACAAAAATGTTTGCAAAAAATCATGTTTACAATTTTTTTAGCCATTACCGTAAAAAAATCTCTATACAAACATGATCATGGGTGTTCAGGAGCATTAAATTTAACGACGAAATAGGGGCCTGCAAAATATTTTTGAGGCTTAAAACTAGGACAACCGCTTCGTAAATCAAGCCTTTTCACCGTCAATAGGTTAAGATATATAGGTTCGGCTATTCGGCTATAGGAGCAATTTTTGCACGAAATTCCAAATAACCCTAGGGATACAAGGATAATGCTTTAGCATTCGCTAGTCTGTAGCTGTAACCGTTAGACTGCAATTCCTTCAAAGGATTCCGTGGAACTCTGCGGTATGTGTTTGCATCACTAAGCATCTCTTTCATGGACCTGATGTACTCTCTTGTGAAAAAAAGAAGTATAAGTATGCGTTGTAAAAATAATCTACGATCTGTGAACGGTTCGGATTCTCGTGATAAGAGTCGCTTATGTCTGATTTTACCATAAAATCAGCACTTCGTCAGGTCCACATCGCTTTTACTAAAGAAATACATCGATACACATCAACAAATAATAAGCTCAACGACATCATTGTATTAGGAAAAGACAAAACGAAAAAGTTGGACCGTGTAAATTCTGTGTATAAATTTGATTGCAAGTCATGCGATGCAACGTATGTAGGTGTAACCAAGAGAGCACTGAGGAAACGTATCAGTGAATATAAAAACAACAAAGATCCGAAATCGGTAGTGAGACTGCACTCATTGGAACATGCACATGAGTTTGATTTCAAGAACGTCAGCATTTTGCATACTGAAAATAACTGGTTCAAGAGGCTCATCGCAGAAATGTTTTACATCAAAAAGAATGTTTCTGCTATTAACAAAAGAAAAGATACACGAGGTTTGAGCGTTGCGTATCGTGGCCTATTTTTGTAAATATGTTTGTGTATGGTCCATTTAAATATAAGTCCTACTATTGTCAAATTAGTCTTAGTATTACATCGACTCGCAGCATGGTATGTACTCGCGAATATGAAAGTGATTGTAAGAGTGTCGTATGTTTATGTATAAATTTGTTTGTTATAGCCTGAAGAGGTCTAGAAACATGCTAGACGAAACGTTGCAAAAATAAATTGGACGATCGACAATTTCTTGTCGAATGACACACAAAAAGTGTTGTTTTTATTGCCTAAACAGATTGACTAGCGAATCCTAGAGCATTATCCTTGTATACTTAATTCGGCAAATCGTGAACACGATGAAACAACTTAATAATAATAACCCTAGGGATCTCTAGAAAATAGTGATTCATACACGAAAATCAAAAAATCTTTAAAATCTCGTGTTCAAATTTCATAGATGTTTCATAGTTAAATACACTCGGCAACAAAATTATCGCAACAAAAAAATTCATCGAAATTTTGTCGATTTTCAAATGCTTCTATCTTAGGCTAGATTTATCGTATCGACACGCTTTTTTTTTTAATTTCTTGGAAATTTTGTCCTCATTAAATCCATATAAATTAAGATAAGATTTGAGTTAATGTTGAGTTACCAGTAGTATTTAAGCGAGACCCTAAAAATTACTGAAAAAAAATGACTGTTTGAACGTGTACCAGTACCACAGTGATTTTTTTATCGAAATTTAACATACACCATCGCAAAGTGCTCTTTTTAACGAGTAATTTAAAAAAAAAAGACCTCTCTACGATTTTTTTAACGCTCTGTAGGTCGTTTTGAAGATACCATTTAAAGTACGTAAAATCCCCCGTTTAGCTGAAATCAAGACGATTTTCTGGGCATTTTGCGTACATAAACCGTACCTTCAAATCGACCTACAGGGCGTTAAAAAAATCGTAGAGAGGTCTTTTTTTTTTTAAATTACTCGTTAAAAAGAGCACTTTGCGATGGTGTATGTTAAATTTCGATAAAAAAATCACTGTGGTACTGGTACACGTTCAAACAGTCATTTTTTTCAGTAATTTTTAGGGTCTCGCTCAAATACTACTGGTAACTCAACATTAACTCAAATCTTATCTTAATTTATATGGATTTAAAGAGGACAAAATTTCCAAGAAATTAAAAAAAAAAGCGTGTCGATACGATAAATCTAGCCCAAGATAGAAGCATTTGAAAATCGACAAAATTTCGATGAATTTTTTTGTTGCGATAATTTTGTTGCCGAGTGTATTTTGATAAATTTACATTTCTAATGACATAGTTGGTTTCATCTAAATTATTTTTTATTCTTTACGTGTTTTTCCACGTTTTTCGATATTTTCATATTTTTTACATTAAAAAAGGTTTGGTGTATAAATTGAAATTAAAAAGAAGCTTTGTAAATTTTTTAGTGATATAATACGGATTTAATGTAGTTAAATTTAATCTAGGGTTTTTTTACATTACAACAACCTTTATAAGGGGTTACATAGCCTTGTGTGTAATGGATACTATTATTATTATTTTTTTTGAACTCAGAATGAACTAAGTTCAACTGTTAAAGAAACTGTGAAAAAACCATAATAAAAATAATCAAAATGCTGATTTGCCATCATTTTCCCATGAGTTTTCCTCGGTCTTCCTGCGGTAGGCAGGATAATTTCTACCAATATCATCGAAAACCAAAAATTCGTCATATTTTTCAAGGGCTCACAGAAGGGGAGAAATACAGCCCAAATTGAAGAAAACATAAACTTTGGATTTCATGCAGTTTAGGAGAACGTATGGCTGTCACAAAAGTATGCGATCGTCACCGATTGAAGCACATCGCAATGACTTCGAAATTTTATTTTACGTCTATTTTCAGAGGCTCAGATTTGATGTTTATCTTTTGTTAATCTGGAATGGATGCTGAAAACCAAGCCATATCATTCGAAGATAACACGAAATTTACTAACGAACGCTACCGGCTACACGAAAGAACTACAAGAAAGAAAGAAAACTGTTACCCTCAAATAGATCTAGAGAAACAAACCGAATGAGAAAATGCCGTTAGAAGAAGAAACACACTTTATGTTTTTCTTCTATCGAAATAAGCCTACAGATTGCTGAGATCATTTTGGAGAATTTTTTTTTTTAATGATTTGGTCAATTTCTCGGGAAAAAGATCTTTCGCACATCTATGTTGAAGTAACTCCACACTCACATAGGAGTTTTTTAAATATTTGCCTTAGGCATGAATTTCAGAAAAATTCCAACTTTGGGCCTTTAGAAAAGAATGGTAGACGATACCAAAAATTCCAATGAAATTGAAGAAAATTTTTGACAATATGAACAATAAGAAAAGGAGACTGCATAAACGAGTATATAGGGGTCAAGGGCACTATCAAGAGAATCGACGACGCGAGCCTGCACCATAGATTAATGGCTATATGGATTTTTGGATACAAAATCAAGTTGCACCTTAAACTTGACTCTTTTCAAAGTGTTCTCATACTGACAAGGGACAAGTTCAATTTGTAAAAGTGTGTAAATATCTCAATTTTATTGATTTCCATAATTATAGTTGTTTTAATTCAAGAGTAAAATAAAAATAAATCAATTTTATTTTATTTTTTCAGGTAATTTCAGGCCAAATTCATTGACACAGAACTCATTTAAACGTTAGTATAAACTCTGCAGATTTCAAAGATTTGCAAGATAGAAACCTAACGGTACAGATACAGTATTTTTCAAAACTACCAAAGAAGAGATTAAAAAGAATCTTAGAGTACTCATTAGTCAAGTAAGGAAGGATACTTTGTTTTTTTAATTTCAACAACTCAAGACCAAAATCCCAATGTTATTGTACGTCAGCTTTTTCAGAGCTAAGTTTTGTTCATTTAAGTTTTGTAAATATTTATAAAACATGGACATTTTTAAATATATATCATACTCCCAAAATATGATTGAGCGAGTATATGATCGGTGAATGTCAAGCGTACCTGCTTCGCTTACCTTTTGTAGCATTGTCAAACTTTTTATCCTAACAAAAGTATATGTTAACAAAATTATTATGTATTGTTTGTGAAATAATAAATAAAGTAATTCAAACATTAATCATCATCATTCTTCTCATTATCATATTGTAAGGATTTTATTATCATCAAATGTTAATTGTATACCAATCGTGAAACGTACGCACGAGAATGTAACGAGTCTTACGCGCATCAACTCGAGCGAGCTTGCGAGCTTGCACGACAAAGCAGCTCGCACGAAAGTGCGCAACCACACATACACAAACAGCGCGCATGAATGCAGCGTTTCGTGGCTGCCAACATAGCGAATGTTAGGAGCCACATGCTTCGACATTTCTTTTCATATCGAAATCAACGCTTCATGCGGACATGCGGGTCACCGAATGTCCTGAAAATTTTTTTGTTGTCTCCTGGTACCTAATAACGAACCTTCTATGTTTAATTTGATCAAATGGGCCTTAGGGCCGATTTTAAGGAACATTTTCTAGTTTATTAAAACATCTTTGTGATTTTCTAACTCGTAACAGGACGTTTTAAACGAAATATTTCAAAATGCACAAGTCTGAGAATTAGTAAAAAAATACGTCTGAATTTGGTCAGAATGTTTGAAACCTGCTATCACCTATTTTCAAAGTCCCAAATTTTACGCGCTTTAACGTTTTTCTTAAGAATTTCAAAGACCTCTAAAAATATAATAATTTAATGAATTAGAATATGATTTTTAAAATGGGCTCCAAGGGTAATGGGATCAAACTAAGCATAGGGGGCTTGATTATTAGATACTAGGAGACCAGAAAAAATTTTTTAGGACATTTGATGACTCACATCTCATGTGGTCTCTTCGTTAGTTACCAATGCTGCTTGGCATTGGTACAAACATTTGACTGTGTCACAGTCTTGTTCCTGTACTGCAGTTCAATCTTTGTATTTATTTATCTAGTGAGAATTGGACAGTCATCTTCAAATGTTTTGCGGCTCTGCGTGATATTTGCGATATTAGCGTTTTAATTGATATGTTAATGGGTACTCTGTCGTTTCCACCGTCACTATAACATAAGCGTTGCAATCATACATCTAATAATTATTGATAAAAAATCGACTCATATAGTAAGTTTGCTTTTGTGACTCCCAGTAAGTTAAGAGTTTAATTCACTTTTAATGAACATATTAAAATCAAATAGCAAAAGTTATCATAACCCTTAATTTTTTTCTATTGTTTATAGTAAGAAAATTAAACTGTACACTTACCCACTCAAGGACTTCTGGCATAATTCAAGTTGTTCCAATAAATGTGGCAAAAATTTAGCCATAGTCTCATCCCCACTGCATGTTTCTACAGCATTAACTTTTTCTCTAGCTCGATACATGAGTTTCACCCATGATTTATCTATAACCTATAAAATATTTATGTCTAGAGAATTCAAAAAAATTAGGAGATGCTATTGTTTAAAAATTACATTAAAACGTTTGGCTTCGACTGGTAACTGTTTCGCAATATCACCACCAACAAATACTGCTTCTAAGTAGACCCACAAATTCTGTACATTTAACCATTTTACGAGTACTTCAGACGTAATATTTAATTTACTTTGCCAGAGTTGGATTTCTTTTTTGAATGGTGCATTATATCTACATAAAAAAAGTAATATACATGAATAGTTTAACAAAATAATTTTTGAATATAAAAATATTTTTTTTGTAGTAAAAACATTATTTGAAAAATGATATTTCACTATGAACATTATGAACTATGCGACGGACAGCCTACCACGGGTGGGTAATTCAGCTCAACTGCCGTGCACTTTTATTTATGGGGGGCCCGCTTTACCTGGCTAGAGTCCCAGAGGGGGTATTGAGCCCGTCACCAGTACGGGCGAGCCGTAAACCCGTTCACTCACCTTCCGTCGCTTAAGCTTCTGATACCTGCAATTCTCAAATAGGTCAGACGAAACACGCGTTGATTTACGATTACTTGAATTAACTTTTTTTAAGGCCCACGAGGGCAAACTATAACAAATAATCACTGCGACGTGAATTACAATCTTCGGCTTACGATACGGCCCCGTAGCCGCTTAAGCACGCGTTGGGCACTTTCCGATAACCCACGGGGGCCGAGACTTATTCGCACGTTACTATCGGCCCAGTGTCGTCGCTACGACACTCGCGTGGCCTCACTCACACTAGCACACTTGCTCACACATACACACCCGAGCGGCCCGACAGCCGCGCTGACCAACGACTTAAAAGTACCTTACCATTACCCCAAGTTCTTCGGCGCCTCGCTGCTGCACTGATGCCTTCTTGTTGGTGCCCTGGGCGTAGTCTTCTTGGCGCAGTTACTGCTGCAGCCCGTGTCCGGGCTTTGTCGTATCTCCACGTGCGGTGGCTTCGTTCAATCTTATCGTCCACTTTCGGGCTCTCTGCGCACAGTACTCGTGCGATTATGGCTGCACGCACGGACGACTTTGCTTCGACGTGTCTTGCCCACCTGGGCTCCGATCTGACTCGTGTATGCGATTCCACGCGGACACTACACGGGCACTCGTTCAGCCGAGTCACAACAACGACTTCAGCAATGACTTCAACACACTTCTGCTTCAACGCACTAGCTCGTGTTTTTCTGCTTTTCGATAACTCGGCTTTTTTTTGCGTGGCTTATTCTGTGCTTTCATAGTGAGCAAAATCCGTGGATGTTTGTTGCAAAATGTTTAGTATTCACAGAAACACTGATATGACACGATTTCGTGGATATCGCGCACCTCTACGACGTTTTGAATGGTCTAGGGGGAACTTGAAAATATCATATGATACGAAGGGAGTAGAATTAAATTTTTCGTATCAGTGCATGTTGCATAGATAAGTAATAAAAAAAATTTCAATTTTTCGGATTGTTGCGAATTTCGCATAATCGAAGAAAGACCGTAGTGTTATCGTATGTACTAATAGCCAGTGTTTCATCTTATTTATCGTAAATAATAAATTAATAATCATGAATAATTTGTAATTCGATAGATTCATAGGCATTAGCAAATTTCGCACTCGCAAAAAATATTCACGAGTATTCACGGATACAAATTTATCGACGAAACCGATTAAATTTTCTGCTAATCGCGAGGATCCGTATACTTGAATAAAAATTAGCGGCTCTTTAAGTGACCAATTCGATTTAGAATTATTCGCAGATATCTAAGAGACCAATTGAGTTTGGGGATATCCGTCAGTAACAGCGACTATCCCCAAATACAATTGAATTCAGTAAGATCTGCATTTTTTAGTGTAAGCGATACAATTCTAATCTTCCTCCGAAAGACTGTAGGCACGATTTAATTCGAAATCAGCGGCAACAATCTGCGTGAGCGAATGTATTCGTGAGAATCCACACCAGCAATCACATTTGTCGGTATCCCTCAGTACCAACGGGTATTTGAGGATACGTGAATGTCCGAGAAAACGATCAAATTCCGATATCCAAGGATATGATCAGATTCGTAAAGACGTCCAGATGTACACCCACTTACTCACTTGCGATCAGATTCGCGCCTATACGCAAATATATTCATATCCATTTAAAACGTCGTAGAGGTGCGCGATATCCACGAAATCGTGTCATATCAGTGTTTCTGTGAATACTAAACATTTTGCAACAAACATCCACGGATTTTTGCTCACTGTGAAAGCACTATTTCACTCGCCAGCGTATTCTAATCTGTCGATCATGCCTCGCGGCGAAAGGAATTCACCCGGTGTCTGCTGGGATCTTTCTATCCTTCTTACACGTGTTGATGCTGGGCCACAGTCCTCGCTTCACGTGATCATCATTCCAACGAGCCACTGCTTATCAGCTTCCTGAAAACGCGCGAAAGAAGGGAGACACACACGCACGCATTCATACATACGCGCGTGCGGCAGTCTCGGCGCGACGCATTTTCTGCGAGTGCTCGACGGCTTGTACTTCGTCACAACTATTTATAATGGCGGCACGACCAAATCTTCGCAGATAAAATCTCTGGCGACACAATCTCCTCGATTAAATCTACGCTACATTTTTTTTATATTTTCGTGTTTTTTAGGTATCTATAAAAATATACTTCGTTACTTGGATTATTTGGGTTACTATGTGATATTGTGATATTTTGTGATATATTGTGATGTTTTGTGATATTTAGTGTGTTGGAGATTTTGTCCTTACGGAGATTTCGTCGCGGAAATTATGTCGGTAAACCATTTTTAATAGAGTTATTTTACCAGTAATTAAAAGCTTATGTTTTAATTGGACTCTCTATACATACTCAGTCGGTAACACCATGATATCAAGCAATTTACGTTAAGGGGGGGGGGGGGGGGGGGGGGNGGGGGGGGGGGGGGGGGTGAGTTAATTTTTAGTTATTTTTGCTTATTTTTGATGTGATCTATATTCGCGTTTGGTGTCAGGGGTAATTGAGATTTATTTTTTGCAATCTAGTAATGAAAATGTAGTAATATCGATTTGTACACTAAAAAGCATCACTTCAAGAGTATTCAGCTAAGTTTTAGTGGGAAAATATTGAAAAATGAGCCTGTGGCATCGGTTTGAAGAAAGTCAAGTTTTTTTAAAAATTTTCATTTTTGAAAATTTGGCGTGACTGTGAATTGTAAAAAATCGGAAAAAAACGAAAAAGTGCACTATTTTCGGATAATTGTTGAAAAAAATGAAAACTTTTGCAAAAATGAAAATATCTCGACGTCACTACCTAGTAAAATAGTTAATGAATAACGGTGTAAACTTTCAAAAAGATCGATCCATAAGTTTTTGAGATATGATATACACCGTATTTGAAAATGGCATTGTTCAGGAAACGCGTTTAAAGATTTTGAAGTAAAAAAACATTTTTTCTTTAATAGAATCGTCAATACCAGGTCCATACAATGAAGGTCCATCATCAAGGATATCTAGAGCATCCTTTTGCTGTTATCTTCTTAATGATCGAGCTTCTTTGTTCTCTTTTTCTGCTTTTTGATCTGCTCTTGTGATCCGGTGGTAATTTTCTGCATCCGCCCAATCGTGAGAGTTTGCTCCTAAGTTGATCCCCAGATTTTCCATAAAGGTCAACAAATCACAACTGCCTACATTAAAAGTGCATACTGCTACATTAGCAGCTATTTCTACTAAATTAGAAGTCCCACTCAAAATTTTCGGAGAAATTTTCCAAATTAGCTGATTCAAGCTTTTATTGTTGTTCTGAGTGAGTGAAACACATCTCTGGAGTAGATTGTCACTGCTTAAATCTTGATAAATTGATCTTATGACTTCTAAAACTTGATTTGGTAGAGCAGTGTTATGTCCGGGATATTTGTTAAATAATACCCGAACATTTATTTTAATCTAACTGCACCAAAATCTGAGATACACGTTTAAGGTTTGACACAAGACTTTTATTATAGAGTTTGCACATATAAAATGGATATTATATTTTTCGTTACACTTTTAGTTATGATGTACCACGCGATTGGCTCAGCTGTAGCTCAATTACAAAAAACTAGGATAAGGTGTTAGCGCGTGAAGACCGCAAGATGTTAGTGCGTCTGTCTGCGAGAGCTGAGAGCCGACCGACCGAGATTACAAAGATGCGCGTTATATATAATAATTGTTTAATCCCGAATTACAGTGGGGCGATATTGGAAGATTGCCCGAATTCGCGTAAGCTATCCCGTGACTCGCGCGTGGTATGATAACCCATAAATTACATCATTCTTTTATTACCCCTTTTAATGACGTTATATCGAAAAACTCGAGGTCGAGAAACAGCGTGACGAGACTCGATTTTTTGGATATAACAGCAGTATAACTGTGTTTAAAATTTTTTAATTTTCTTTCAGCTGAGGCTCTTTGCCATTCCCACCATGAGTTTTTACCACCTGTACATTTTTCATGCGACGGATTTTTGTCGGTCGAACTATAGTGATGATAAGTCCCCCAAATCGCATTTTTCATTTTCTCTACAGACTCATGATTCCGGCGGATCGCTAATCCATAATATACTGTTAATTTATCTATCATCTTGCAAGTTAGCGTACCTTTACCAGAGAATCATTTTTTTAAAATTATTTTTCCGGTTGAAGTTTTGAAATCAACTACTGTATTTTTAACAATATCTCGTAAACGAGAGCCCATTTTTTTGGACGTGTCCAAAATACTCATTTTTAATTATTATGAAACTTTCACCGTATGGTTTGGAATTCACTATACCGGTGTATGTCTTGGAACCTCCATCCTTGATGTAATTTCGATACTTGACTTTATTTTTCGTAGATCTTTGGAACATTTCTTTTATTGCCTCGACTTCCATCCCACCAGAAGAACCAACATAATTCGCTGAGCATTTTCCGTTATCCACGTGTTCTTCTTTCCACTCTTCATATTCAGCAGAATCCAATTTGTTTTCCCAATACTTGCAATCATGACAAAACGCACTTTTACTTGTACGTCAACGACGAAACACCATACAAAGAGGAAAACCCTCTTTTTTCCAAGTTCCATCCCCTGAAACTGTCACCTTTGATGAATTTTGACAAGTATTTTCAGCTAATGTAGCATTTCTTTCTTCTTGTATAGCAGATGTTAAAAAATTTTTTGTAACCGATTTTGTGCTCTTACATATTTTCTTCATATAAGAGTTATATGCAGCTTTAGTTAAAAATTTACTTGTCAAGTCCATTAATCCACAAAATTTATTGCATGCTGGCAATCCTAGGCATAATATACGCATCACAAAAGAAAATCTGGTATTTATTTCGTAAAGGCCCGATGCAATTGGATCACTAGATTTTAAAAACCGAGGCTTACATTTTTTACAACTAAGTTTAATACTGAATCCCAGTCCTTCCTTTTTGCACCTTTGAAATTCAATTTCGCCATTACACTGATCACATTTCAATAAATTTGATAGACTTGTAAAATCTAAAAAGAAATCTAAAATTTCATAATGCTTTTCAAAATTGACTGCTATATTTTGAGCTGTACTAGTTTTAATTTTTTTCGATGAAGTACTAGATAGAGTATCTTCTTCTGCCTTTCGTTTATGCGGTGGAACTCGTTTTTTCGAACGGCTTAAACGGGCTGCAGTGGTTGCCCTTTCGCTGCGATTAATTTTTCTAGGCATTTTTGAAAGGAAATTCAATAATTTTCAATCAAAAAACAAAAATTTAATGCTGTTTTTTGAAGGCTTCGGGAAATATTTAGAATTGTTTCTTACTGTTACTAGGTGATATTTATACTGATCACACAAACATTGGCTTAGTTAAATGTGAACAAATGAAATACACAACTTGTGTACTCATAAAAGTCTCTGTTTACATACCGAAAAGTATATTTATCGAAATTTTTAGTGTTACATAGTACACATAAATGAAAAAGCGTTAAATATTCAAGCTCTTTTCAAATCATATCCTTATCTTTTTCTATCCTATCGATCCTATCCTATCAAATCCTATCAAAATTAACATAAATTGCTTGATATCCTGGTGTTACCGACTGAGTGTGTATAGAGAGCCCTTAAGGGCTAGGCTTACCCACTCAGTCGGTATTCAGTACCGAAATATTTTATCCTCATTTTTCTCCACGAATAATGAATCAATCATCTTGAAACTTCGAAGTAACGTTCAGAAGATTGATACAATTATACATGTGCTCTTGTTTTCAAGGAAATGTCTTATAAGCTTACTTAAATTAAATTTTTTGGAATTAGAGGTTATGAAAACCAAAAAACAACAATAAAATCTATTCACTTAAAATTCTTGACAATTACGGAAAAACAAGAGCACAGGCATATTTGTGTCAATCCTCTGAACGTTATTACAAAGTTTTGAGATGATTTATTAACTATTCACTGAGAAAAATGAGGACAAAATATTTCGGTACTAAATACCGACTGAGTGGGTAGGCCTGGCCCTTAAATGAAAATATAATAATGTCTTTAAGGTGTGTGAAATAATTTGAAAAAAAAATTTTAATGACTGTGCAATAGACTTTATATTCTGTTTGCTCAACGTTTTGATGATACTATCTGAATATCCTCCTCGAGAGATTTTAATTAAAGAATACTTATTGCAAAATTATAAATACAAAACAATATTTTTTTGTAAGAATAAACCTCTATTAAATATAAATATATCGCGTCATAAATGATCTAGTTCTTTAATAACGTCACTAGTCATGTCTTAAATTCAAACGTTCAATGATATACATTCCTACTTATACACATTTGTAAACACACATACTACTCATAACTCTCTATGCAGAGTCTCATATACAGAAGAAAAACCACTCAAATCTGTCATTTTATTTAATGCTGCATCACCTTGTTTTTCAATATATACCATTTCAGCAAACCTTCTTCATTTTTCATTAATACTCAAGTTTTAAGTAAATAAATGATGAATTAACAGTCTCTAGACCATCTCCCTTTGTGTGTACGTGCTCATAAGTGTGAAGTTTGGTATTATTAAATAATTTTCTTCTTCCAATTCAATCCACTGCGAATATCACACTTATACGCATATACACACAAAGGGAGGTGGTCTAGAGACTGTGAATTCATCATTTATTGACTTAAAACTTAAATATTACTTAAAACTTAAAACATAAAACTCGAATACTCGAAAAAATTCGAGTGCCCGAAAAAACTCAAGTACTCAAATAATCGAGTACTCGACTCGAACTCGAGGAAAAAACTGGAACTCGACGAGTCAACTCGAGTTTTTTCGAGTATTCGCCCAGCCCTAACATTTTTTTCGTGTTTTTTGACAAATTTTAAGACGTTTTTGTTCTTTAAAACTTTTCGTTTAAATGCTTCTATCTCGATATAGAAAATTGAAAAGTTTAAAAATAAGACTTTTTATGTTCGAATTTTATAAAAAACCAAAATTTTATATATCGAGATAAAAGCATTTTTAAAAATATATTGTTAAAATTAAAATTGTAAAAAAACTCACAATAGAATCGCGTGACCAGTCAATCTTATCACAATGTTTAACAATATGAAGAAAGTAATATAATTGGGATTTCAGATCTTTGGTAGGAAATTTTTTTCCGATCAGGTGTAGTATAAACATATTTACTATCATAAAAAGAAAATTTCAACTATTTCGATTTATATTGTCATTCCTAAATATCAGCTCGAAACACCAGTCTATCCCCTTAAGTCATCAATTATAATAACAATAAAATGATAATACCAATCAAAAAATTACCTGTTAGTCGCTAATGAGCTCAGTATCATTAAGGCATCTTCTAATTTCGCAATTATTTCTTGAGTTTCGTTACCTCTTAGTAACAATTCGCCTCTAAGTTTAAAGTTAGCAAATTGTAAATCCACGAGAGACCAATCAGATATTACTAATTTAAGCTTGCTTTCAATATCCTTCTCTTTGATAGCACTTATGCATATATCCTAAGTAAATAATATATTTATAAAATTTTTTATAAAAAATTACAGGATTTTAAATATCAAGGTATAATTAAATAAACAGCATGTGTTTAGTCGCACAAATAAATTTTTTACTATTTAGAATTTGAATCGATTCGAACTTACAAGGAGAGCTCTTCAAGTCTGGGTCACCGAATGCCCTGAAAATTTTGTTGTGATCTCCTAGTACATGATGATAATCCCCCATATAGTTAGTTTGATCCAATGGGCCCTTTAACAATACTTTTACGCATGATCAAGATTTGAATATTATTTAACGATAGTAAATACCATATAATAGCTAATCATGGTCAGGCTTAAAACAGTCAATTCCAACTGACTGAACAGCATTGTTACTTTGTGTTTTTCAAGTTTTTAAACACTTATTCAAAAAATAAACACTGTAGCTCAATTGGTATACTATGCAAGTCTCAAAGAGCGAACCAATTTGAGCTAAAATTAAAATACTTCAATATAAGTATTGATGCAAAAGATTGAAATAAAACTTTTATATTATTAAACTCACTGTTCCTTCTTTTTCATCATCTTTTGACACTTCATTGATTATGTTTTAAGTGCCAGATTACCTCATCAATGATGCTGGAAGTCGCCAATGATAAAGATAAATAAATAATGTGATTTGGCGATGATACAATCAGTTATGCTTCTTTTTCTTTTCCCCAATAACTTAACACAGTTGCTTTTCTGCATTTGTAAATTGAGCGTGTCAACAGTTTAACAGTGCTTAAAAAGTGTGAATTTATTGTGTTAAGTTATTGGGGAAAAGAAAAAGAAGCATAACTGATTGTATCATCGCCAAATCACATTATTTATTTATCTTTATCATTGGCGACTTCCAGCATCATTGATGAGGTAATCTGGCACTTAAAACATAATCAATGAAGTGTCAAAAGATGATGAAAAAGAAGGAACAGTGAGTTTAATAATATAAAAGTTTTATTTCAATCTTTTGCATCAATACTTATAGTAAAGTACTTTAATTTTAGCTCAAATTGGTTCGCTCTTTGTGACTTGCATAGTATACCAATTGAGCTACAGTGTTTATTTTTTGAATAAGTGTTTAAAAACTTGAAAAACACAAATTAACAATGCTGTTCAGTCAGTTGGAATTGACTGTTTTAAGCCTGATACCATGATAGGCTATTATATGGTATTTATTATAGTTAAATTATATTCAAATCTTGACCATGCGTAAAAGTATTGTTAAAGGGCCCATTGGATCAAACTAACTATATGGGGGATCATCATCATGTACTAGGAGATCACAACAAAATTTTCAGGGCATTCGGTGACCCAGACTTGGAGAGCTCTCCTTGTTAGACTAAAAATATTTTTTAGATTCTGAAACTTTTTACGGAAATTTTTAGATATTTTTTAAAAAAAAGTGAAAAAGAAAAATGTTGTCAAAGAAATTTGATTTTTTTCTTTTCATTTTCTGCAATTTTGCAAACGAAACTATTTTGATGATCTATGGCTGCATAATTAAATATTGAAACGATTTCTGCGTTTGCAATTAAAATATTTTGTGTAGGGATGTGCTGTGACGTACATGACATCAAATATTTCGAATCGGCTCTATTCAGAATTATAAGCAGTAAAACGTAGAGTAAAAATTTAATTGCTACAGGCTTAGGTTCGCCGCCAAGGTCATTGACGAATTTATTGTAATTTTACCTTTACGCGCCCGAAATATCAATTTATTCATTAAGATTATTACAGTAGTAGACGCCGTACCACGTACCATTATACCTACACAGGCGAAGCGATTGTTGGAAACTAATACGTATTCTCCTTGGAAAACTCGCGAAAAGTTACTTTAATATACCCGATTGAATGGGAGCATTTGAACGACGATTTTCCATATTCAATCGTAATATTTATTAGTTTATTTATTTTACACCGAACGAAAAATATGGGCTCAGGCCGGACTCGAACCGGCGACACTTGGCCTTTAGCCGGGCCGGCTTTAGAAGGGTAGGTCCCAATAGGTGATGACCTATTAATTTAAAAAAATTAGTGAAAGATTAACATCTCTCGACTTCTTGTACACCAAATAACGATGATGTGAACAAGGGTTTCGGTAGCTCAGATGGTAGAGCACTTGCCGGCTAAAGGCAAAGTGTCGCCGGTTCGAGTCCGGCCTGAGCCCATATTTTTCGTTCGGTGTACAATAATTAAACTAATAAATATTACGATTAAATATGGAAAATCATCGTTCAGATGCTCCTATTCAATCGAGTGTATTAAATTAAGAATACTTACGTATTGTTAGACTAATAAAACTTAATCAACTGACAGTTCTCCTGAAGAGGGTCACGAACTAGTGACCGAAACGTGGAGAAAATAAAGAACTTCAACACCAAAACCTGTGCCCTTTTATTCCAATTGACGACAAATTTAATTCAATGGAAAAGGATTGTTATAAAGATTTTTAAATCCGAAAAAACTAGATAACTAAAACGTTATGACATTAAAAGTTTTAGAAGTTAAGAGGCTTAGTCTCACATAAGTTTATTATAAGTAGTAAAAATTAAAATATTTATTTATTGTGAATGGATTTAAACTTTCAAGAAAAAAATGAGTGTGATCGCCTCATAAAAGAAAATTTAATCGTTTATCTTTTTATACTAAGAATTTTGTCATTTATTATTAAAAAATATAACAAATGCAGCATAGACATTACCTCAACTTCATCTTTGAATTGTAATATCGGAGCTGCCATAACACTTGATAAATTAAAATTTTCTGAATTAACGTTGAATTGGTAGTTACATAATTCTGAAATTCTCAACCAATGGCGATCTTTAACAGCTTTATTTGCCATTAATTCCAAAATAAGGCAAGTTTCATTAAAATCGTCAATTTTCTTTTTTAATTCAATATATGCAGGCCAACCTCGAAGTCCTTTAGGTAATCTTCTACATCTGAAAATTAATGTTAAAAATATTTTTAATTGTGGACAGTTTTACAAAGTTTGCATCGATTCAATCGTAAATTTTTTTAAATAAAATTAATATAAATTACGTTTTATTTGATAAAACGCCCTAAAGCATATGAACTAAAAAATCCTAAGCTCTGCTAAAAACATAAACATTCAGTAATATATAGTCTTTGTGTTATCACTATGTGAATACTAACGTATTTTTTCACGTATTGGTGTTACTGAGTAAGATAATTCATGTCCACCACTAGAGGTTGTCAACGGTTTTATGATCAGTGATTACTCATTTGTATAATTGATGTACAATGTGATATGGAAGGGACGGCTTGTAACGAGTCTGCGAGGTTTTGCAGAGATTCGCGAACATCATAGATGTTTAGTCAATATTAGCTAAGAGTAACCTGACAATCACGAGACGGACGAGTGACGAGTGACCCTGGGAATGGTCGATGTTATTTAGCATTTTAGTTTGCAACGTTTTCTAACGTGTAGTCCTGAAAAAGACTAGTGTCAATGTAGGCTGTTAACTGACGTGGGATGACCGACTTGTGACTGTCTGCCACCTATAAGCAGTCTTGAGCAAGGATCATCTTCTCCAGGAGATGTAGGTCCGAATGGCCGATGACTTCATTCTTGGGTCAAGCCCAAGCTCACGATGGGTCGAGCAGGTAGGCACGGATGGCCTTGGAATTTGGCAAGTCCTAGACTCGAGTATGTTTGGGAATTTCACTTGAATCGTGATAGTCGAGTGACAATAGTCCAATCTCTTTTCTTTTCCAACTTGTGAAAGTTGAACAGTCAAATGTCGATTCACATTTCTGTTCTCAAAAGTACTCTATAACACCATCGCAGGATATTACGAAACAAAAAATGCAGCCCAAAAGCGCAGATCACATCTCTCACTCTGATCTGCGATTCGAATATCGACAGAACCAATATTGATTAAGATTTGAAATAAGCACAAGATGATTTAAAAAAATATCAAGCTTTTCTTAAGTCTCAAATTCGAAACGCAGAAGGACAAAGGAAAAAACGAATAAAGACTTTTATTATAAATGAGTCATCTTCAGATGTAGCAAATGGAAATAAAAAAGTTGGAAGACCAAGAAAAGAGGTAAAACATTAGATTAAGAGCTAAAATGTGAGTACAGTACCAGTAAAACTATGCAAACCACAAAATGACTTGCATAAAATCCATATTGATGGTCCATTTTGTGCAGCTACGATAAGAAATATCGACACTTTGGCTGCTATTTTAGGGCCCAAACAAGTATCGTATATCTCCCAAGACAATAAAGCAAGACTCAAAATAGGGAACACAGCTTCTAATAAGCAATCACCGAAGCTCATGCACGTCGAATATAGAATTAAATTTCCGGATCACGATTGGAATGTTGCAAATAGACACTCATTAATTGCATCTGTGTATGCGGAAATAGAAATAAAAGAAAATTCATCTAGCTAGGCAGAAAATATTACATACAGTGGATCAACTTTTATCGCGATAAGAAGTGGAAAGCATTCTAGTTCAACGGCCTCAATCCATTCGAATGACTTCAATACACTATATGAATTAGATATTTTTAAAAAGATTTTACACTATAATGAACTGCCAAAGCCAGTTCTTATAATAGCAGTGGATGGAGAACTGGACGAAAATCCAAGGTAATTACTGCTTATTCAGTGTGATGTTTAGTAATTTCCATTGAATTTATGAGAATCAATAGTTTTACTGTTTCACAATCAATTAATTCTGTTATTTCAACAATTTTTTTAGATTGATAAATTCGGTGTGGTATCCGGCATAGCTTATGCAACGGGGGACGGATAACCTGTCTACGTTTTTTAATGTTTTGTTAGCCCTGAAAAGGGCCAATTGTTAATCCTGAAAAAGACCGCTTTTCTACTTTTCCTCTCTCTTCTCTGAGTCTAACTTCGGATTTCTCCGAGCTAGAGATTTATTCAACTTCTTTATATTGAAGTGGTGTAAAGAGACTCGAGAAAATTGTCCAAGCGAGCTGGAGGTCCGAGCTCAAGTGGTGAGTTCTCTCGAGTGAGAGCGAGTTGGAACTCTGCGAAAAGAGTCTCCTACTTAACCCCTGGCGGCGTCACGTCGCTCGTGGAGAGCGATTCTGGCGGTGGTGGCCACCTAGTGGCAGAAGCGGCAAGCAGGAGAAACGAGAAAGGCGAAGAAAGAAAAGAGATTGTTTTGTGGAGAAACACAAGTCCGAGAGATTTGTGTAATCTCCGGTGATCCGGGAGAGAACACGTCGCTTGGGTCTTGGTGACTCCGGTATACCAAGAGTGCCGCACTGCTCTGGAGGTCCGGGAGATGTGTTCGGCTCAAAAGCTCACGAGCGAATGCCCGCAGCGGCCCGGCGCGCCGGCTTATATAGCGCGGTGCGGACGGCGCGCGACGCCGGCGGTGGTGGGGGCCACCGCTGCGTTGCGGCTGAGAAGAGTGAGAAGTGGCGCCGATCACAGCGAGCCTGAGAACCGGCGCCGATCCGCAAAGCTCGGCGTGATCTGCAGCGCGCGTCTATAATACGTGACTTGCGTATATCAAGATATCATAAAACTATAACTTCTGCTATACAGCATTTTAAAAAACATTCTCTGGATGCAATATTTATAATGACAAACGCTCCGGGATGCAGGGCATTCAACGGAATTGAAAGACAAATGGCGCCACTAAGCAGAGCCCTTACCGGTGTCATTCTACCACATACTTACTATGACTTTCATCTGAATGCTCGGAAGAAGACAGAAGATAATGAGTTGGAAAAGAAAAATTTTGTTAAAGCTGGTGAAATTTTAGGAGAAATCTGGTCAGAAAAAACTATTGATAAGTTTAAATTTTAAGATTAAAATATTCTCCTTGTACCTGATATCGATTGGATTTGGCATAAAAATCATGTCCAAGAATCGCAGTATTTTCTCCAGGTAAGATTTAACAGTAAAATTAATTTTATTCTATTAAATATTATATTAAGTTTTTGCAAAATCATAATTAATAGCATGAAAATCTTGGTACTACCAATAATAAAATTACAAAAAATTGTATGGAGAGGTATCATATTTTATCAAGAGCTTTTTCTACATTATTGAATAACATTTTCCAGAATTATCTTAGACTGGGCTGCGATGAACTTTAGAAAAACATAGATAATGACTCATATTCTTGAATTTACATTAGCAACATGATTAAATTATATTTATTGAATGTTTATAACACATGTTATATAATATCTTACTTGTTTTGAAAGTTGGCTAGTTCTGTACTGATAACATCGATATCAATTTGCGCCCAAGGTATTTCATAATAACTGTCGATAGAACGCATTACTTGTAGATATAACGAATACAGTTTTTGTAATAAATTCAGTTCTCTTTTTCTGTTGAATAGAATTGGGTATTCAGTACTCGTAAGTCCAAATAATTGTTCGCCACTACTATAAGTTTCCAGTTTCTCCCACAAAGTATCAAACCATAATTGGAATAACAGAACTCTAAAAACAATATAAATTATATTACTAAGCATTGTGAAGAAATATAATATTTTCGAACATTATTCTTAGGATGGAACCCAAAAACATTCACGACATAATTGATATTTGTTAAGTCTGATAGGACAATACTTGTAAATAAAAAAATTGTGAGGCGTTTATTAATATTCAGTAAGACCAGCTGAAATTAATAGTGCGTGTCACACCATGGTCTGACCCTAACGATATAACGAATCACTCTATTGTATAAATCAAACTATTTATTAACTCATACATTCGCCCTACAACAGTTGAGATGGGCTAGTCAGCAGACCTGGCATACCAACTGTTACGCAGGAAAGAAGAATTGGGCATATTCACTATCACCTAGACCCGTCATCATAATAATGTTCTTACATGATTACTGATCTTCTTTAACTACCGTAGCTGACAACTCGTCAGCAAACTCCACACACCAACCGTTAACCAGACTAGAAAACCACCTTCTCTGTGATGGTATTCAGAATAACTGCAATAAACTGACAACCATCGGTCAAGCACTTTCTATCGTGAATTACAAATGATGTTTTATTTGTAATTCACTCACAAAACTGCCTTATGGTTTTCAAAAAGTAGCACTAACTACCAATGAGAATTTATCTCCCATTTCAGCTGTCATCCTACAGCTCATGGTCTTCGGCTTTCACTCTTCTTGAAGAATCAACCGATAGTTCCTTCTCTCCGATCCATATATAAGTGAGATTGTTTGATTGATTGAAAAACTTTATCCGGCCACAGGGTAAACCCCATCTGGTACGGTCGTATTTACAATAAGTACAATTGTTGATAATAATAATTTACTGTACATTAAAGGTATTTAATTTGCTGTGATATTTAAATAGAGCGCAGCGTTGTATGAAATGGAATGAAGTGAAGTTCTGGTGATGATGGTAAGATGAGAAGTAAAGAGAATATAGTAGAAAAGAGAGAAGTAGAGTGAAAGTATGTATAAAAGAGCAGTATGTAATGAGAATGTGATGAGTGAATGCTTCTGATAGTGTTTAATAGAGTCTATTGAGTTTGTGGTGCACGAAAAACGTTTTGAGAGCGCTGTCGTCTTTTTTACAAGAGCGCTGAGAGCTCTCTGTCTTGAGAGCGCTACTATCTTAGTTTGGGAACGCAGAATTCCCAAAGTTCAGGCATACCTACTGCTTCATACGTGCGAGAGCGTAGCAATCTCGTCCTTGGGAAAAATATAAGCTCGAGTGGTGATGATAATTAAACACTAGTGTGCGGACGATATTAATGTGGCAATGTTGAGAGTTTCATCATTAAAAAATATGTATGTATTAAATTTACATGTATATGAATGAAATAACTTTATTAACGTAGAAGAGTACTTACAAATACACCGTATTAAATACAATATCTTGTAGCAATTCGATTTTTATTTTTAACAAATAAAACAGGGAAAAAAATTGGTAAGTCCTCGTAAGGTATTAATTTAAATACATTTGCGGGCTCTACAATATAAGCGTAGATATGATCATCGAACGTGATTTCTTTATAAATTTGTGTATGAAAAATAATTTTACCTGAATCATATATTATTTTGATTATTTTGACGAAATCTTTTTCAAGTTTTGACACATCAATCAAGATAAATGTATTTTTATAATATTTGGTGCCTTTAATTGTCACATATCCATGACACGTATGGTTATTTGATTTAATAGAATGGTTTATTACTTGCCCGTCTAATGAAAGACCAAAAATTAATTTTTCATCGACTTTCATATTGAAATTTGAGTCTAGCATACCAAAAGCTTGCTTGGTAGCAATTGTGAGAAAAGGATTTTTATTGCAGCTAGTGTTCTGAAAATTCAAGCGAATGCGTCTATGGTACAATTTAAATTGCATGCCACAAAAGTTGATACACGGACCATTCAAATATAATACGCGTGGATAATGTGTAAGCAAGTGCAGTTTATAGGGTAAAATATTTTTCAGATTTTTATAAAGGTTTTTATGTTTAACAATAACATGACTTAAATTAGCAATCAAAGAGTCACTCATCCTATGCGAAGTAACAATATTGATAATTCGGCGCATATATTTCGCCGTTGCTTATGAGTAAAAACACAGTGAAAAACGCTACGAAAAAAAACATACTGATAAAATGCCCCGAAAAAAACACAGCTCATTGAATGCTGTGAAAAAAAACACACCTCATCGGAGCGCCACGAAAAAAAACACACCTCATTGAATGCCATGAAAAAAAACACAGCACATTGGATGCCGTGAAAAAAAACACAGCAAATTGGATGCCGCGAAAAAAAACACACCTCATTGGATGCCGCGAAAAAAAACAGAGCAGAAAAAAAACGCAACAAGTTTCGATGCAGTGTGTTTTTCTTTCGCAGCGCTCCGTTGAGGTGTGTTTTTTTTCGCAGCGCTCCGAAGAGGTGTGGTTTTTTTCATGGTATCTAAAGAGGTGTGTTTTTTTTCACGGCGCTTCGATGATGTGTGTTTTTACTCGTAAGCAACGGCGACTTGTTTGGTTACTGATGCTATTTAGATGCCGTGAAGCAAATGAACGAACAGCAGTAGGTGGCATGTAACATTTATACTTTAATTTAACCCTTTAACGCCTGAAATGACCATTTTCAGACAACATTTATAGCGATGAATTACACCGACTAAAAATTGTTTGAAAAACTTTTCAGACATCACTTTTTACGTAAAATTTAATTTACTTTTCGAATCCGGTGTCAGAATTTAAAAAAAATTATTTAATAAAAAGTTATAAACAATTTTGTAAAAAAAAACATGAAATTTCAAGAAAAAAATCTCGTTCAACTCAAATTTCAACACGGAAAGAAGGTTCGCTCGTGGGTCTCTCGCATATATATTTGGTCAATGGCATGTATACTTTATTGTATAATAGTTATAATGAAGAAATTCAAAATGGCGATCATAAATTCGGCTTTCGAAGACCTGTATGTCATAAAATGATTTCGACAATTTTTAACTCGATCTAACCACTTTTTGTGGTTAGACTCACTCAATTCCCACTCAATTCTAAACACTTTTTGTTCTATAACTTTTTCTCGTAAAATTGATGGTTATCGAGTTAAAAATTGTCGAAATCATTTTATGACATACAGGTCTTCGAGAGCCGAATTTATGATTGCCATTTTGAATTTCGTCATTATAACTATATTACAATAAATTATACATGCCATTGACCAAATTTATACGCGAGAGACCCACGAGCGAACCTTCTTTCCGTGTTGAAATTTGAGTTGAACGAGATTTTTTTCTTGAAATTTCATGTTTTTTTTTACAAAATTGTTTATAACTTTTTATTAAATAATTTTTTTTAAATTCTGACACCGGATTCGAAAAGTAAATTAAATTTTACGTAAAAAGTGATGTCTGAAAAGTTTTTCAAACAATTTTTAGTCGGTGTAATTCATCGCTATAAATGTTGTCCGAAAATGGTCATTTCAGGCGTTAAAGGGTTAATCAAATCATGAGCTACAATAAACGAGGTAGGTGATTTGGTGTGTTCTATAACCGACCTCAGATTTTCTACAATGTAGAGGTCTAGCCAAGTGTTCTTATGAACTGGCTTGAGGCTAATAAGTTGTGATTGAAGTCACCATTGAGGACGATGTGATTGTGTTTTTTTAAAACGTAGAGAGCACATTGAAGAAGTATTTCACTTTTGTACAGTGTGGTCTCATATAAACAGCGGCAAACAACAAGTGTTGGTATGGTGAGTCGAGGTCGAGTATCGAGTATTCTGGTGTATTATCATAGGTAGCTGTAGAATTGGCCAGAATCTTAATTTGGAGAGTGTCGTGCACATAAATGTCCACCTCTGTCCTTTTTATCATTTCGGAGAATTTGGTAGCCATCAACATGGGGCAAAAATCAGATGTTTTATGAGTTAGAGACGTTTCTGACAGCAAAAATGTCATAGTTTTTTGAGATGAGTTGACGTTGAAGTTCATCGAGATGATATCCAAGTCTATTTATATTGGAATGTGCGATCGAGAATGATGAGAATGATGATCCCGATGACAATGGACCGACACTCGACCTGGAGCCTTTGCCTGGAGCTTTTGCCTGGGCTTAAGTGATTGGAAATCTCTCTCAGTCTGAATAGGGATGAGCTAAGCTCCAGCAGTTTCTCACATGAAGACTGACAGGTTCTTGAGCATTCGCTGGGCATAGTTGATTTTGCGAGCTGTATCATAGGCTTTGTTGAGTAGGTTAAAGACCTCACGTAGCCACATTGGTCGGAATCTTATTCTTCCATCACCCACACCAAAAAGTACATCTACACCAATCGATGGCAACTTGAACGAGCTCTTGATACAGTAATCTCGGGTGCTCTGAGAAGACAGTGCAAACACAAAGGCTTTAAAGTTGGCCAGCGTAATTCCGGTACTGTTTTCGGCTCTCACGTGTGGGCATGCGCAACAAATCTATGGTAGTGCTTCAGTCACATGGCCGTAAAGACTCTGCTTAGCACCCCCTCCTCTGATATGTCAACTTCCCTTTGGAGTCCGGTGAGTAATATCTCACATGTGTCGGACAAGTGTGAGCTCATCTGTGGTGTTACCCGCACAACGACACGAGACCCCTGCGTGCACGTCCCCACTCCTTGGCCTAGGGAACGTTAACAACCCTGAGTTGTACTAAAATACTCAATCTTATTATTTCTCGCTCCTCTCCAAGCCTCCTTCCCACTTTTGCACTGAGAAGCTTCACTAGCAACCGCTAGGTGGCGCAGCCCTGGCACCCACAAGTAACGTGGCCCCGCCAGGGCATAAGTATCGGTTACTTCAAGCCTCAGTCATTCCACTTCGGTCACTCGGCAAGTGCGGCCTGGACCTTCCAGCCGCAACTAATTAACACGGCCAAGTCAAGATCCGTCACCGCAGCCAAGTCTACGAAGTCGACGGGATTTCCAGCCTACCTTTGCAAAGTTGACCTCGGAGCAACCTGGGACC